TGTCTTGGCTAATCTATCCAACAAGGTCCCTAGGATTGTTTAGCCAACATATTATTTGGAGGCAGAAATTGGTGATATGGTCACTTTAGTAAATTGATTAAGGGCAGTTTGTAAAAGGGTTGATTACTTCCAGCTGTTTGTTGCATGGTTACTTATTGTCCAGTTACCCTTCTTTGGAATGCTTCCACTGTGCATTGAGGTTTCAGCATCCTGTATTTACACAAATTGTGCTTCAAGCAGCCAGTGCCATTCAAAGACAGATAGGTCTGATTTATTCAGCTTTGAGTAGACTTATAGTGCAGTCCTAAGCAGAGTTACATCTTTCTCAGTCTATTATCCTGAATGAATTTAGAAGGATGTAACTCTGTTAGGATTGTACTGTTAGTCATAAAGGTATAAACTGCGACACTCAGATTGTTGTGGTTTCCAGAGTACACAGATTAAAGGCTTGTTGCATGTACTGAAATGATTCCCTTGCATCTTCATGCCAAAAAGTAGTTCTGAAGTTATACGAGATTTTACAAGAGACATTATAACATTTGCAGAGGGTGACTGAAGTAAGGAAGTAGAGTGAAGCATTGTAATAAGTAAGGGGTGCTTGTGAAGTCTGTAATTTTTTTTTTTTGGTCATTCCGATCTGGTTATATCAAGTTATTTTAGGGTTTGCTGCTAAACTCTTCTGGTAAACTCTAACCTCAATGCCTTCTCCTATTTTGTGCATCTGTGTTTTTAAGCTACAGCTCTGGGGGAAATTTGAATAATGTGGAAATGTCTTTAAAATATTTGGACTTTTGAATTAGAAATAGAGGTTTGGAACCAAAGAACTTTGTGGCTACTTCTTTGAACCCAAAAGGCTGCCACTAGGCTTATGTTTTTCATATTACAACTGATCTCAAGACTACAGAGATAAGTTCCTCTGGAGAAAATGGCTGCTTTGGAGCGTGGACTCTATGACTAGGGATGGGCACAAACTGCATTTTTGCAGTTTGGTTCATGGTTTTTGGCAGAACCACAAGTGGATACAAACCAGGAGGTAGGTTTGTGAACTGAACTGGTTCATATCGGTTAATGAGCCATTTAAAGTTTAAACCCTTGCCTTCTGCTTAACAGGGAAGTAGAAAGCAGGGGTTTAAATGACTCCCATCCATTTAAACCAGAAAGCTGAGCAGTGGGGAGCTGCTTTCTGCTCTCCTTGGCTTTCACAGGGAGCAGAAGGCAAAGGTTTAAATGGTTGGGAGCCATTAAAACCACTGCTTTCTGCTCCTTGTGGCTTTTCAAGGGAAGCAGAAAACCAGCCATTTAAACCAAACAGCTGTTTTTTGTGAAGAGCAGAAAGCAGGGGTTTAAACAGAAAGCAGGGGTTTAAACTACCACAAACTGCATCAAAATTCATGAAAGTTCATGGTGGTTTTTCACAAACATTGCTTTGTGAACCCAAAACTGCCTGAAATTCATGACAAACTTTAGTTAGTTCATGTTCATCCCCATCTGTGACATTAAACCCCACTGAGGTTCCTTCCCAACCCCCCTCCTTGGGCTCCACCCCCAAATTTCTAGGAATTCCCCAACTTAGATTTGGAAACTCTAGCAGCTTATGATATGAAACAGGACATCTGTTAATCAAATAGACGTCCCAAGGAATCTCATGAATTCAGTACCTTCCCTAATAAACCCTTGAAGGCAAAGCCAGAAAATGTTTCATGTGGTAAATGTTTTTTCATTGCTTACCTAGATGGAAATTGTTGCTATTGAAGAATGTTGTAGATCCCTTGGTTGGATTTTTTTAAAAATATCTGTGCCAGCTTTCCTGGTTAATTGGTAATGGATTGTGCCTTAATCCTTAATAAAGGTTTTATTTTTAAAAAAATCAAATCGAAGTCAAAAATTTCACTGGGTGTTGCTTAGATATGCCAAAAGTATGTTTTTGAATTTTGGGGGGCCCTGTTACTAATTTTCTGTGTTGCCCAGAGCAATATTTTCAGTATTGGTTTTTATTTTGCAAAAAAAGAAGAAAGAAAAAAGTAGGAGCCTGTTGCTTGCTGTCTTCAAGTGTTATATATGTGGAACTCTGCTTTACAAACTATTAAACATGCTTGATCTTAATCATTAAGTTTCTTGAGAGGTCTGAAAACCTCAGTTTTCCCCTATGATATTCTGTAAATTTAGTGCAGTCTCTTGACAGAGATATGAAAATAGAATTATACTAATAAACACACATTCTACAGGCATTCTGCCTTAGTCTAAAAGCTGTTGAAGCCTGCCAATGGATTAATGCCACATGTGTATATTAGGGTTGCCAACCTCCAGGTGGGGCCTGGAGATCGCATGGAATTACAACTGATCTCCCGACTACAGAGATCAGTTCCACTGGAGAAAATGGCTGATTTTGAAGGTGTATTCTATGGCATTAAACCCCATTGAATTCCTTCTCTTCCCCAAACCCCACCCTCCCCTGGCTCCATCCCCCCAAATGTCCAGGAATTTCCCAACCCAGACTTGGCAACTGCAGTGTGGCTTATTCCATTTTCAGATTTAGGTTATGTGTTGCCACTACAAATTATTTTTCCTCAAACAGAAGTTGGTTCAAGGGTTGAAGAGAAAACAGAAGATATGCAACTCTGCATATATCCCCAAGGGTTGACAGGTTTGTTTGTGATGTTTTAGTGTGTGGACAGCTATTATTTTATGAGGTAAAGTTAATGCCTTGAATTTTGATTTTTAGCTCTAAAAATTATCTGTTGTCAAACTTGTTTAATAATCAGAATTTCTTAATATTCCATGTATTGCAGCATTTCTCTTTTGTATCCAATAGAAAAGTACTTTACTCATTGGGGAAGACAATTCATGACTCCCATTTTGGGAAAGTAATATCATTTTTTAAAATCTCTTTTTCAGACTAGTACTTGGAGGTGTTTTCAAATTAACTTTTTTATATAGCATTGGACTATTTTAACTGTTTTAGAAGCACACCATGCCTCCAATTAAAGAGAAATATGTATATTTTAAAAGTTCTGCTTTCAGCCCCTGGAGTGTCTTGGGACCATACGAGATGCTACATTTTAAAACTCTCATTCTCTTTAGTCAGATGGGAGCTGCTGAGAACTAAGTTCCCAAGAGCTATAGGGCCCAATTTAGATCAGAACTGCTGGGTTTCAGCCTGAAATGGTTCTGTGGGAGTATTTGACCTATTGGGTGGCTGTGACCTAATTTTTGTTTTTGTAGGTAATGGGAGGGATGTATTGTAACAATTTCAGTCTGAAAATGGGGCAATCTATGCATGTTTAGGCTTCCCCACTACACACATATTAACAACTCTTGGATTCAGGACAGAAAACTTTGAAGTGGAAGGTACATCTTTATTTATTTGTTCAGAATGCAAGTTGCATTTTTTTTGTACCCTGACTGAAGAATTTCTTTAAGGTACGTGACTCACCTCAGATAGCTTAGTGTCATGAGAGTTAAATGTAGGGTAGCTAGAAAGGTAGGTAGTTTACAGTGCAATCCAAAACAGAGTTACACCCTGGTAAGTCGATTGAAGTTGATAGGCTTACAAGGCCGTAACTCTGCTAAAGATTGCACTATTAAAGTATAAAGTCATACATCCTATGGTACAGTTTTCATCCTCCCCCACCCCAGTCTGGTGAATACAGAATAGTTTCTTCCATTTGCACATGGATGTCCTCAGATGAACTCCACTTGAGTTGGTGGACTGAGTTAACAGAAGCAGACATTGACACTATGATGACTTCATTTTTTAATGTTTGAATCTCTTGCCAAAAAGGACCACCTGGAAAATACAGTTGCTTAATTGCTTTGCGTTTATCAGTTTGTTCTGTAATAATATCACAGTTACTCATCTGGCTGTGGAGAAAAGGCAAGGTAATGCTGCATAACAGCGGTTTGTCCTTTTATGCCATTTTTAAGATCCGACCCAATAGTGGATTCTGTAGCAACCCCTTTGTGTTTCTGTATCACAATTTTGTCAAAGCCACTGTGTAATAGCCCCCCCCCCCCCCGTGGGGGTCATGGCTAGATGCAGTCTCCTTCCTGCTTGTGTTCCTACCCAGCATCCTGTTGGTCATTTTGGACAATAGAGGAGACAGAGGCCAATGTCAAGCTGCTCGAGACAAAACTGTGTTTAAAAGACAGCTGTGCTTGTGGCTATTTGCCCTTCTGCAGTTTACACTGTGAAGAACTGATTTGTTAATTTCCCTTCCAGTCTGATTTCAGACCTTACCTTCTAGCTCATTCTTCTTAATAGATCATTTCCACCTGATTCTTTTGATATGTTTGTTCCAATTTCAGTCACAGCCAATTTCTTATTATTCCTTTCAGTAGGTAGCAGTGAAGTCTCAACCAAAAAGGTATTTCTTCAGTGGTCTTAAGTATATTTATGATTCAGGTGACTAAGCCAAAACTACTAGTTAGTTCTGTTAATCCTGATATTTTTACTTGCTTGAGATCCCATCACATGAAAAGCCTCTGTGTTACTGTTTGTGAAGTGCACAGCTAAAGGTTTGCATAGAGTTAATATCCCCCCCCCCCAAAAAAAAAGGGCTGTGAGGATATATGCTTGTGGGAACAGGTCATAGTAAAATGTGACTTTTAAAATCTCCCTGTCTTCAAATGTTTTAATTCCCTAGGACCAACTAGGTCCAAGCATATAATCCTCTGTAAACTGGCATCTGTGCCTACAGATTGCACCTTTTGCTTTAAATACTTTGAACATGTATATTACAAAGGTTGGCTGCAGGCCACTATGGTTGTCTCTTCCTTTAAAATATAGTGTTTATGACTTTAATATATATGCAGTTTGGAGTTGTTTTGTGTTTATCTCATTAAGAACAATTTTACATATATGCCACCTTGTATTTTTCAACTGCATGCTCAGTATGTGCTGTGAGATTTCACTATCTATATCTGTTCTTCTAGTTGCCTATGCTTAGCATGTTCCCCATATGACAGTCCAAATGTGTCTTTGCCTTTTCTTTAATTTGTAGGTATTTGAGAAAGAAGAGATTGAACCACTGCAGGTTAAACAACAGGAGGTGAATTGGTTGGGTCAAAGCCTTATTCAGAGTGCTGCTAAAAACACAAGCACTGATAACCTTGAGTGTGATCTTGAAGATGTTAATATGAGATGGAAAACTCTCAACAAAAAGGTAGCTAAAGAGTATTTTCACTGCTGCTTAGTGTATTACTGTTGTTTGGCTGATATTTCTGGCTGTCTTGAAAAAGGCAGTGTTGCCTTTTATCTTCTTCCTTGGGGAAGGGTTGTGGCTCAGTGGTAAAGCATGTGCTTTCCATGTAGTAGGTCCCAGGCTCAATCCCTGTCAGTAAACTGCCATTTGTATTCTGGGTATGCTCTGTGTAACCTGCCTGCTGTATGATGCTGTAGTTGATAAGACTGTGAGAACTGTTGCTGAGGCCGTTCCCAATCTGGCTGGTGTGAACCAAACGGCTGAAAGCTATCTCCCGCCTTGGTTTTATCCCACTCAAATCCTGCTGAGCGCGAACTGTATTCATTGGCTAACCCTTTTGTTTAAACTGTCTATATCTGTACATGATTGGCTGTACATGATGACCATGAAAGTGTATCAATAGTGACTTGTAATAAAGCAATATATTCTTATGAATCATTGTGGACTGCAACTGCTCTATTGAACCGGACAATCAGCAGCATCTCCATTTAAAAGTTTCAGGTAGTATGTAATGTTCAAAGGTCTTTGCCTAGGACCTTGGAGAGTTGCTGCCAATCATATTAGTTAATACTGACCATGATAGACCAATGGTCTGATTCAGTATAAGGCAGCTAGATGTATACAGTACTAAATATTTTCAAAGTAGGTATTCTGAGGTCTGTTATAATGTGTCGCATTCTGAAGCACCATATGGACTCCTGTGTTTACACAGAGGTTCTGCAGAAGCAGACTACCCTTTAGCACAGGCACATATTACTCTTTACGTGTGTTACATTAGGGAATAATAAACCTCTGGAAAACAGAGTGTCAGGAGGGAGAGGCCCCAGGACTCCTCCTGCCTCTCCCACCAAGAACCGCAGAGGTCATGATCTCCAACCCAATGGGGGCATCCAAAGAGGAGGCACCCAGGTGAATTGGAGAGGGCCACACTGAATAGGCCTGAATGTGGCTGAGGGAACCGGTGACTATGGGAGGCCTACCTTCAGATGGCAGGCCGAGTCTGGAAGAAGCCACCAGGGTATCCAGGAGGACCAGGGCTCCTGCCCTATTGGCCAACCAGAGAAGCCCCGGCAGCAAAAGGAGGTCGCAACAGAGGCAGTGGATGCCATCCCCAGAAGCATTGGCCCGATTGGGAGGAAGAAGGCTGGGAGTGCACTGATGGGATTGGGGAATTGGCCAATCCTGTGGCCACGATCCTCTGAAGGGATGGGAGGAGGAGCAGGTTTGGGGCAGGAGGATTTAAGGGAAAAAGAGATGCTGGCCGAGGAGGATCCTCCTCATCCCTCTATGATAAAAGAGCGGGATGGAACATAGAAGGAGATGACTGGGCAGACTCTCAAATAGAGGGGAGGGGAAGTACGTGAGGAATAAGAGTGAAGTAACCACCTCCATATCTTCAGTCTGAGGCTGTGCTACGTAGCTCTGTCACCCGGAAAACCTGACGCCCTGGAGCCTGACCCTCTACCTCCCATCCCAACGAGACTCCCCAATTGTGACACAGAGAATTGCTTTATTAATGCAGACACTGACAACAAATGTAAAGGATAATTTCTACAACGTTTGTATCTTGCTGACTGGAAGGGGAATATTTTACGTCCTATCCAAATGAAGATAGATATATGGAAGTATTCTGTGAAGGATTCAAGCTCTCTGAGGATTATCTTTGCTGCCTTAGTCAGACTTGTCTCTCCCTTTGAGAACCCGTAGCTTATTCTGATACAGACACCTGTAATGTTTATGACCTGTACTGTCCTCAATTTTAATTTATTACTAAGGGGCATAGATGTCACTCACTGAATCAGTGAAGAGCGAAAGAACTAAAGCATTCTAGGTTTAAATTGTTACATTTTCTTCTAATTTGTTTTATTGTGCATAATATATGTTCCAGGTTGGAGGGGATAGTGGGGAAAGGATGATATTCACAATGTCTGTGTTTTTTTAAGGTTGCCCAAAGAGCAACTCAGTTGCAAGAAGCATTACTCCACTGTGGGAGGTTTCAGGATGCTCTTGAATCCATACTCAGCTGGCTCATCGACACGGAAGATCTCGTGGCTAATCAGAAGCCTCCATCGGCTGAGTTTAAAGTTGTAAAGGCCCAAATACAGGAACAGAAAGTGAGTGAAAGTTATTTATGCAATCCTTATGCTATATGTATGTAGTCTAACACCTGTCATAATATATGAATTAGGTTCATTGGGTCTGTCACCTTCCATACCCCAGGCTGTTATTCCTAAAGGAGCTCTTGACAGGTACTGTTAATACTGACAAAAACTGGCAAGCATAAGAGCACTCTGATAGGCATCTTACTTTGTACTACTGTATTTAATAGAAAAGTGGCAATCCTCCATGGCAATCACAAAAGGCAATGAAACTAGGCCACCCATATACAATGCCTGGAGAACTCCCAAATTATGCAGAACAGTATGACCAATTCAGCCAAAGAAAGTAATGCCTGATGAAGACTGAATATGTTCGCATAAGCATAGAATGTTGAGAGTAACTGAGTATTTGTTATAGAGGGGAAGGTAGTGGATGTGTAAAGAAATCAGCCTACTCAAGCAACCTGAGATTGTGTAGCAGCCTGGAGAAATATGGGGGTGGGAGTGATTTCCAAGTTGTTCCACCCCCACAATTCATCACAGGTCCCCAGCTTGTCTTTGATTTAGGGGACGAAGACTCAGTGTCAGTGCTGGACCCTAAGGACCCTGGGCAGAGTAGGCATCAGAAGCTAGGAATTGTGAACCTGGGAGTTAGACACACAGAGACTGCTATAGCCCAGGAAAAGACCTAGCCTGACCTGGAGACCCTGTTGGCTGTTGAGATCACAGAAGGACAATGACTAGCCTGAGGAAAAGTCTCTCCAGAGCTGAGGAACATTCACCATTCTAAAATCTAGAACATGTAGCCCTTGTGGTTCACTACACTGATCTTTGAACTCCTATCCCCAGCAGCTCTGTACATTTGGTTACGTGAAATGACTGGATCTCAGTGAGTGTCTGCTGAAGCAGGGAATGTGAATGAAAGCAAACTGAGGTGTTTAATACAACACTACAAAAATGATATGAGCGCTACAGAGATGGAATCCATCTAGATCAGGGGTGGCCAAACTTGCTTCATGTAAGAACCACATAAATGTCAGATGCTTGAGAGCCACAAGGTGACTTTGGAGGAAGAGGCAAGGTTTGAGGGAGTGGTCTGAAAGTGACATCACAGGAAAGGGTGGGTTTTGGTTCAGGATGTGCATTGGAAGGGGTGGGGCTTAGGAAGTGCCATCACCTGACCTTTGACATGGAAGTGACATCACAGGACATGACATCCTTGTGAGGCACCACCCTCAAAGTCTCCTGGCTCTACCCCCAAAGTCCCCAGGTGGTAAAAACAGAAAAAAAGTGTTAAAAACAGATATTGCTGGGATATATTGCAATACTTTGTGAAATGGCAGAGGTATCTCATCCAGCAAGGACAAGCCATCTTCCATGGCACTCTACCTGCTATTCTTCTCACTAAGGAACCCTTCCTAAGCTTTCAGGGGACTCCAAGATTTCCCAGGAGGAAGCAGAAATTGAAAGCTATTGCATAGTTCGTGACAATAATTTGTGCAATAAAAGCAGGCTTAAAGAACACACCCTCGTTTCTCTTCCTGCTCCCTTCAAACCACCAGGTTTCAAGTAGACGTAAGATACGCAGGACATGCGCACCACCCATGCACAGACTGTGCTGTACCCCTCCCTGCCTGTACAACTGTACAATGCTGGAAAACAGATTGTACCTACAGGCACTGAAATCTCCTGTGCAGGCATGTTTTTTCCCGCTTACCTACACCTCAAGCTACAAGCCCACAGAATCTGTTCTTGCAGAGAAAAGAGGTCTTCTGAGCTTTTACACCCCCTCCACTCTCCCCAGAGGCATGCCATCCTAAGGGCGCTTTCCTGGGAGTAAGCCCCAGTGATTAGACCTGCTTAGGATGGCACTGTTAGATACTTATACAAAGGACCAGGGGTCATTTCCTGCCTTCCTGCCCATCTGGACAAGGGAGAGAAAGGCATTCTAAACATTCCTGGGTTGCCTGCCCAATCTTCTCTAGGTGCCCCGCAGCCACAGGGCACCTGGAGAGGATTGGGCAGGGAACGTAGGCATGTCTGCCTCCCTGCCCTCCTCTCCTCCTCTCCAGACTGGAGAAGGGCTTAGCTGCCCGTGTGCAAGGCCTGCCCGCCCACCCACCGACTGGCTGACCGACCAAGCTGGTCCTAGGAAATGTCTTTTAAAAGTTTTTTTAAAGTAAAAATAACCCTTCACTTTTGAAGTGTGTGTGTGTGCAGGGGTGTGTGTCAAGCTTCGGGAGCTGCAAGAGAGGGCTCCAAGAACCACATGCGGTTCGCGAGCCGTGGTCTGGCCACCCCTGATCTAGATTATTTGAAAGAAGGATATTGTCCTGAACTCAGACTGACCTGCAGTCGTATGCATAGGGAGATCTCTTGATTTTAGGAATGCTTTGAGATTTCCATTGTGGTGTCTTCTGATCTGAGCGTGTGGATTGGGTCATTCCATAAGATAAAATGAGAAGGTTGTGTGAATCTGGAGATTCCATATATGCATTGTGGCTTCTGTGCTGGTAATTTTTAATTTATTGGGTCAGTTGTTTGCATATGTCATGACTCAGGTGGAGTGTCACCTGACGCTGCCACCACTCTGGATTTAGGTTCCCTTGAGAAGGCCCAGAGCACCCTCCCAAGACCTTCAGACTTCCCTTTTGGCCAAATAATAGGTGTGAGGACCAGGCAGAGTGAAACAAGGAAAAGATTTATTTTATAGGAAGTCAAACAACAAGGTGCAGAATAATAACAGTAAATGGGTGAAAAGCAAAGAAATCAAATGCCCTAATGTGTCTAAATATATACTGTCCCTAGCTCACTATTCCAAGTGACACTAGATTACTCACCCTGCCCTCAGGATGAGGGTTTCTTCCTGCAGCAGCCTTCCCTCTGGCTCTGCCCTCTGGAAGAAAGAACAGCTTCTGCTCTGGCACCAGCTCTTTTGTTCCCCAGCCCTCTTCTTCCCTATTGGTCAATTTTGGCTCCAAAACCTCTCAGGGGCTTCTGGGAGTTGTAGGCCCAGCCTCACCTACTGCTAGCCAGGCTCCCTAGGCCTAGTAGGCCTCTGGTGGCACAGTCCACATCATGACAGCATATATGGCAGGGAAGGCTTGAAATATCTGTGTGTCTTGAATCTTGGCATCACTTATCTTTCACATACATTTGAATACAAATGAGAAGTTTATTTCATGAGTTTTATGAAATCCACAAGTGCTTGCAAAGTGGGGCTCACCTAACAGCAATCAACCCCCCCCACACACACACATACTCCTCCAATGGAAGGGCTTTTTTTTTTTTTAGAAACAGGTGGTAGGAACAAATGTTGAAATGGGCGATTAATATGAATAAATATGAATAAAGAAATTACAATGTTGTCATGGGAATGGTTATGGAAAAATTCTATAAAAATTTCGACTTGTAATAATATAAAAGAGAACTGTTACAAAATGATGTATAGATGGTATATGACACCGAAAAAAATAGCAAATATGAATGATAATATGTCGAATAAATGTTGGAAATGTAAAAAACATGAAGGTTCATTTTACCATATGTGGTGGACTTGTGATAAGGCAAGTAATTTTTGGACGGAGGTCCACAATGAAATGCAGAAAATTTTAAAATGTAATTTTAAAAAAGAGCCAGAAATAATGTTGTTAGGTCTGAAAATGGAAGCGCAGCGTGGCTACATCACTGGAGGTGACACAACCACGTCGATCACGTTGGGGGCGTGGCCCCGATCGTCAGAGGGAAAACTCTATGGTTTTCCCTCCGACGATTGGGGCCACGCCCCCAACGTGATCGACGTCGCGCGTCACTTCTGCGTGCATTGGAAGAGAGCTCCCGGAGCCCAGCAACGCTTCCCCGCCAGTAAGATTCGACTTGGCAACCCTACTGCATTTGCATCCCACCCTCTCTTATATCTTCTATTGATTTTGATTTCATTCTACAGTTCTTTTGAACTTATTGTAACTGACATCCTCTCACCATGTTTTTGCCATCTTTTTGTGACGCAGATGGAGAATTATCTTCTCTTTTTTAATGTTCATATATTAAATGCTAGATCAACATTAGTGAAATCAGTGGCATGTATCCAACCACACTGTTCCTCTCATGGAGAGGCATTTCCATTTGTAGGAGAGGAGGTGGTAATATCTGCTAGTTCCACCACCCCCTGCTATAGACCTCTCTTTTAACTTCTGTGCTGCTTCTGAGAGATAAAATTGTGTGGGCTGCAGCAAAATGGGGAAGCAAGAAAGTCCTGCTATGTGAAGTCTGCAGATGCTTGTATATGTGCCATTGTGATAAATGCAACTTGCTGACCAGATTGATAATCATTCTCTTCTTTAAAATGAATGAATAAATAAAAACCTAGTGAAAGACTAGTAAGCAGCATGTACTGCCCTGGAGATAAGAAGTCTGGTTCCTAAAGCTAAGAAGAGTGGGGGGACTTTGGCTGAATTGTTAAATACAGCCCTCAAGGGAGAGGAATGCGTCATTTTTACTGAATGAAGTGTTGTGTCTGTCTGCAAAGCTGAGCAACCAAAGTTGCAGTTGTGTGCAATGAAATTATATGTGATATTAAAATTCATATATATTAAAGGTTTGTTTGGGCCATAATCCAAAGGAAGTTAAAATACTGTTTGAGACCACATTATAAGGACTTGTAGCATAGTTAAGTCTCCAGTCAAGCTTATCTTTCTGCAGATTGTGCCCAGAAGTTGCAATTGTCCTCATGTTGAGGCTTTTACTCTTTAAAAGGATAGGGAAGCACTCTTAGGAGATGTAACTTCATGGGGAGGTTCTGTGAAAACTGAATAAATATCATTGGGCTGTGCACATGTTCTGTAAACTGGGTAATGTTGTAAACTGGTTAATGTTGCACATAGATGCCTTAATCACTAGTGCCATATTTGGTGGGTGAATGTCCATGCATGATCTGACATGCACATCTACATGCTATGTAGACCATATGGCCATCACGTCAAGACCAATAGCTAGGCAGCTAGGCTTGGGGGAAGATTCCTTATTACTGTCCCTCTGACTTTTTCAAATGGCTGAATATTAGCATAGCCCTGATACCCTGGTTCCCACCTCCACATCTTCATCCACATAGCCCTCTTCTCTCTGGCAAAGCAATTTGGGAGCAGGGGCTGGTATTCCTTTGGGGTCCAGATTTGGCCCTAGGGCCTCTGCTTACTGATCCCCACTCTATTGTATGTTTTAAACGTATAGAGACTGAATCTGCAAGGGGCTATTGTAGTTTACTTGTCAGTGTTTCTGATGCTTAGTTTAATAGTTTCAAGTTTTATGCATGTATGTTTGTTGCTTGCCCTGAACTTTCTCTATAGCTTATAGTATGTAATAGAAATCTGAGTAAAATATGTCTGGAAAGAAGTTGGATCTCTTTGCCAGCTTTAGTCATAAATTACTTATGGATGGCAGTTGCAGTGTAAAATTGGCACAATAATTTCCTGCCATCTTGGAAAATTGTTCTTTTAAATCCCCCCCCCCCCCCCCCCCCGGTAAACAGAACCTTGAAGAATCTGCATCTTCGTCTTTTTACACCTTTGTAGCAATACAGTCATTATCTGGCAATCTGATTTTTGATTTTGTCTTCAGCTTCTCCAGAGATTGTTGGATGACCGCAAGCCCACTGTTGAACTAATCAAACGTGAAGGGGAGAAAATTGCAGAGTCAGCAGAGCCTGGAGATAAAGATAAGATCTTGAAACAGCTGAGCCTTCTAGATAGCAGATGGGATGCATTGCTCAATAAGGCAGAAGCCAGGTACTTGAAAGGTTTTTATTCACTTACAAGTGCATCAGGGCTCACGCCTAAATGCAGTAAGGAATGCCATATAATCTGCAGATGTATAAAGATGTTCATTCTGTTTATTATAAGATTTGTATCCAAATTTGAGGCTGAATGAGAAAATGACTTTGAATGCATCATTACATTTGTGTTTTATTTAAGAAATGTATATGTCTCCTCTATAGGGGGTGACTGACAGCACAACAATAAAGTAATAAAACAATAAACATAAAAATACTAATATTTAAATAAGCCATTTAAAAAAGTGGCTGCCAGGGCAGAAAACACGTTAAGCAGTTTATCCATATAACTGTACTCAGACTAGAAGCAAAGCATGAAATCAACCTCTAAAAAATGAAACCATTAAGTTAGAAGTTTGAATAAAAACACCTAAAAGACAGTAAAGTAGCTAGATGTCAGAAGACCATCAAGTTGGAGAAGGGCATTCCAGAGACAAGGCACCACCACTGAAAAAGCCCTTTGTCTAGTTGCCACTTTCTTCACCTGTGCACATGGAGACAAAGAGGGGAGGGTTTGGGGAAAGCATCTTTAGCGGCAGACTGAATGGTAGTAGGCTTTTAGAAAAGCAGATAGGATCTCCCCCCCCCCTCCAAGGAATCCAATAATTACTCTCTGTAGGCAGATGGGGAAGAGGGAATCCCTGAAGTATACAAGAAAATCTTGAAGATTTGGGGAAAAGCTCCATTTGCTCCCAAACTGGTGGGTGCTGAGGGCTTCATGTGCACAGTGCCCTCATGCTGTCTACAGATCTCCCTCCAGCAACTCCTGGGGAAAGGCACCAAAGTTCAGTGGAAGAGCACATGTGTTGCATGCAGGGGTTTAGCACCTGGCTTCTCCACTTAAAAGGGTCTCAGGTCATAGATATTTGGGAAGACCATTCTCTGCCTGAGACACAATTCTAGTCTGGATAGTAGACAATAGTAAGGCAGAGGAACCAAAGATCCAATTCAGTATAAAGCAGCTTTTATATTGTGCTGTGAAGTCAAATGTCTTCCTGAAGTTAAGAGCAGGAGGAATTAGTATCAGAAAATAAATGCCCTCAAGCACATATCCTCAGGAATCCATTTCCCCTCTGTAGGCCTCTCTGCCCCAGCAAGATATTTCCTGGCTCAATGAGAGGGCTGCAGTAGCTGTATTTGGAGCCAACTCCATGGAACCAGGCAACTCAATCCAAATAAGGAGCTCCAGAAATGGATGCAAAATTGGTGGATCACTGAGGTGCTTAAGGCTCTTTAGCTTGGAGAAACGATGACTGAGGGGTGACATGATTGAGGTTTATAAGATTATGCATGGGATAGAGCAGGTAGAGAAAGAGGTACTTTTCTCCCTTTCTCACAATACAAGAACTTGTGGGCACTCAATGAAATTGCTGAGCGGTTGGGTTAGAATGGATAAAAGAAAGTACTTCTTCACCCAAAAAGTGATTAACACATGGAATTCACTGCCACAGGAAGTGGTGGTGGCTACAAGCATGGACGGCTTCAAAAGGGAATTAGATAAGCATATGAGCAGAGGTCCATCAGTGGCTATTAGCCACAAGGTATAGTTAGGGGCTGTGGGGCAAGTGATGCTCTGTCTTGTTGGTGCTTGGGGGGGCGGTCAGCAGTGGGAGGGCTTCTAATGTCCTGGCCCCACTGGTGGACCTCCTGATGGCACCTGGTATTTCTGGCTACTGTGTGACACAGAGTGTTGGACTGAATGGACTTTTGGCCTGATCCAACATTGGCGTCTCTTATGTTCTTAGGTGCGGGGTTGTGAATAGGGACTAAGTTGGATGGGCATTCAAATTGCACTTTAAAAAACTCGTAACGTGCATATTACATGTACTCCATTTTTGCCTTGGTGTTTTTCTCAAAGCTACACATATACACTCACACTTGCACACAAAACACAGAGTTCCATTTAACATGCAGTTTGAATCTTAGATGTGAATTCCAGTGTACATTTCAGATGTACATCTGAATGTTGCTTCCTATTGAATGCAATTCATTGTAGGTAGACAGCATCCACAAACATTTGGATTTTCATCTGATTTACAGCCTGGCTTCTGATCTAGCAGAGTGATAAACGCACAGAGTGCTGTTTTTGCATGCATATCTCCTTTGTTAGATCAGGATGGAAAGGGAGAGGGAGGATGCAAAGTATTTCTTAGATCCTATACAAAAATGTAACAAACAAAACAAGAAAGGTAGTGTCAGAATCTGGCTCTGCTGATTGTCTCTTCTGAGAGTGGATTAACTCAAGGGTCTGACAGTTTGTTCAGACTCACATTTCTTCGACCCAGTCCCCTACCACTACTGTGGGGAACGGAGACGGAGACGACGGTAATGGTGCCAGCGGCAGTTCGGGAACTGAAGTGCCCGCACCTGATGCCAAAAAGAAAACACACACGTCTGGAGGAGCCAAGCTGAAGAAGCAAGTGCTGTTCCAAGTCTCTGAGTGCTGGGACGATCCCGCTTGGCTAAGTGTCACCCCGGGGCTAAGAGGAGTGAGAGGACGTGGGGAGAGGGAGCGTAGGTGTGCGCCTTGAGCCTTCCAAGACGACCCGGAGCTGGGACGTATGAGAGAGGAGTAGGATGAGGAATCCTCCTCCTACAAGACCCTAGCCACCCTCTGTGCCGACATGAAGGAGCTGAAGGACAGCTACCGTTTCCTGGTCGACAACTTGTTGAAGGTGATGAAAGGATTGATGGAGAAGGACGTGGCTGAATCCTTGTCTAAAGAAGAAGAGGGGACTGAGGAGGAAGAGGAGGAGGTCCCTCGCCTAGCACCCCGCCGTGGGGCCAGGGAGCGTGAGCGACCTCGCAACGCACTAGAAGCTACCTTTGATGGGACCCCAACCAAGTTGGCCTTTTTCGCCATCCAGGTGAGGAAGATGCTGCGCGAATGGGGCCATACCTTTGCCACAGATGAGCAGCGAGTGGATTATGTGGGGTCCCAGCTCTGTGATAGGGCAGCCAATTGGTTTGTGGGACTGTATAATGTGGCTGCCCCGGAGCTGAAGAACGTGGATGCTTTCATGCAAGCCCTTCGCCACCAGTTCAAAGACCCGCTTGAACTTGAGAAAGCTCACACCTGCTTGCGTGGGATCCGCCAAGGGACCCAATCGGTGCAGGAGTACTTGGATGAGTTCAAAGTGACGGCCGCCAGATTGCTAGGCTGGCTGGAAGAAGTACTCATTGAATTCTACTGAGTGGGGCTGAACATTGTCATCCTGGAGAGGACCCTAGCTTAAGATAACCCACTAACCCTAGCAGGATGGATCCAGGTGGCGTGCGAGGCTGAGAACCATTATAATTTGGTGAAGCTATATCACCAGAAGGCTCCTACTCGGGAAGTCACCACACAGCATGGAGCAAGATGTCGGAAGCCATGGGTTCCAGGAGGAGGCGACTGGGAACACCGACTCAAGAAGGGGCTCTGCCTCAGATGCGGAAAGTCGGGGCGCTTTGCAGCAGAGTGCACCTGGAGTCATAGTGAGGAGGTGAATTCACAGGGTGAGTGGCGAGAAGGAAAGGGATGAGGCATGAAGATGCCCGAGAAGCGGCCGAAGTCGCCCCGGGCATTGCAGAGTTTGTGTTCTCCAGCACCCCCTCCTCCAGCGATGGGGATGAGCCTCCAGTGCAGGAAAACGACAGGGACCTGCTGTGAAAGGCGCCAGCCAGCAGGTCTGCCAAGCATCAGCACAAAACTTGGTGAGAAATAGTTCTTCCTTGCTTTTTGCTACCGTGACTGTATTAAACCCCGAGGCCAGCACCTCTATTCGAGTGTGTGCCCTCATAGACTCGGGGTGCTCCCGTGACCTCAACAGCCCCTAGTTAGTAACTGGACTCAGGGTGGCAGTAGTGAAATTGGACGAGCCGGTGGTGTTTTCCCAGATGGATGGAACCACCATGCTGTCGTGCCAATACCGAACTGTAGAATTGCCCATTGGGGTGGGAGAGCATTGGGAACTGCGAAACTTTATAGTGCACCCCACAGCCCTGTTCCCGATGGTGTTGGGGAAACCCTGGTTGGGGGTGCACGACCCAGACGTGCAGTGGAGCAAAGACTGTTTGACTTTCCTAGACCCCAGGTGTAAGGCGCACCAGTGGCGCGCTAAATGGGGAACAGAACCAGTCCCAGTGCCGGAGCGGGTATGCCCAGTGCAAGAAGAGCTGAATGCCATTCCCCCAAGTATCATGACCTAAGGAGGGTCTTCGAGGAGAACAAGGCGGATGAGCTACCGCCCCATAGAAAGACTGACTGTACTATAGAAATTCTCCCGGGTCACAAAATGCCAAAAGGGAAACTGTATGCCATGAACCCCTCTGAGCGGGAGGAACTTAGGAGGTTCATCGACAAAAACCTGGAGCGAGGATTTATCCGCCCTGCCAAATCGTCGTTCGCTGCCCCTGTGTTGTTCAGGAAAAAGAAAGACGGGGGTTGTGACTGTGCACAGATTACCGAGGGTTAAACGCTGTCTCCATGTCAAATGCATACCCCCTCCCCTTGATTAAGGACTTGCTAGCTGAGGCTGCAAAGGGGCGGTTTTTCACCAAACTGGACCTGTGAGATGCTTACTTCAGGGTGCGCATCAGGGAGGGGGATGAATATAAGACTGCATTCAACACGCCGCTGGGGCAATTTGAATACCTAGTGATGCTGTTTGGGTTGGCTGGCGCTCCCAGAGTCTTTATGAACCTGATAAATGAGGTGCTTCACAAGCATCTGTTCAAAGGGGTGATAGTGTTCTTGGACGATGTGCTCGTTTACATGCAGATATGGACTCGCATGTGAAGTTAGTGCGCGAGGTGCTCACTGCCTTGTACGACAACCACCTCTATGCCAAACTGTCCAAATGTGAATTTCATAAGACTGAGATGGATTTTCTGGGTTACCGGATAACTCAGCAAGGGCTGGGAATGGATCCTAAAAAGGTACAGGATGTACTGGGGTGGGAAACCACGAAGACACGGAGGCAGCTGCAGAGTTTCCTAGGATTTCCCCATTTTTATAGAACCTTTATCCCAAACTTCGCCCAGGTAGCATTGCCCATAACAAAATTGTTAAAGACTAAGGGGAAGAGCCCTAATGCCACTAAAGGCTCTTGCAAATTGCAATGGACGGGGTAATGTCAAAAAGCATTTGAGGCACTGAAGGCATTATTCACGTCTGAGCCCATTTTGCATCACCCCGACGAGACTAAGCCATTTGTGGTACAAGTCGACGCCTCTGATGTAGCGATGGGTGGCACTATTTTACAAAAGGGGTCCAATGGGAGGTTGCACCCCATAGCGTACGTGTTGAAAAAGTTCTCGGGGGTTGAACATAATTGGGCCATTCGGGACAATGAAGCGGCGGCTTGCCACAGCATGCTAGCCAGAGGGAGGAGGTGACGGACACTGTGTTTTCCCCAGCGCAGTTGGGGGGGCAGTACTCACCCGCAGCAAAGCGAGAGAGAGCAAAGAGCCGGACAAGGATCTGGACTGGCTAGAGACTTTTACAGCCATGTTCTCCCCTCAAGACCTGGAGGCTGTTGTAGCGGAGGGACTGCAACACCAGGAGAACAGACTTTGGATGAGAGGAGGACGAATTTATGTGCCAGAAACCCTGCGGGGAGATATGCTGTCACAGAGTCATTGTAGTAAGCTTGCTGGACATTTCGGGTACATGAAATCTTTGCACCTACTTCAGAGGCAGTTCTGGTGGCTGGGTCTCAGGCTGGGTCTCCCAGTTTGTGAGCAAGTGCCAAACCTGCCTGATGTGCAAACGGCGTGGAGGGAAGGTGCCGGGGTACCTCCAGCCGCTGGAAATCCGAGCTTCCTTGGTCAGTCATTTCAATGGATGTTATAACTGATTTACCCAAGAGTGGGGGGAAGACTGTGGTGTGGGTGGTTGTGGAGTTTTTCTCTAAGCGAGCTCACGTTGTGCCGTGCAAATCTATCCCAACAGCCAAACAATTAGCCGCCCTGTTCTTGCAACACATGGTGCGATTGCATAGCTTGCCCCACAAGATAATTTCAGACCGAGGTTCTCAGTTCGTTTCCAAGTTCTGGAAAGAACTCATGAAGTTATTGGGCATAGAAAGGGGGGTGAGTAGCAGCTACCACCCCGAAACTGATGGCCAATCGGAGCGCACCAATCAAATTTTGGAGCAAGTACTGCGCTATTACATAAATCATCAACAAAATGACTGGGTGCAATTGTTGCCATTTGCAGAATACTCGTATAATAACTCTCTCCATAGTTCCATAGGGATGAGTCAATTTAAAGCTGTGTATGGATATGAAGAAGTTCCCCTCCCGGTGGTGGATCTCGCCCAGCCCGTAGAGGGAGATGGTCAATTATGGTGGTCCAATGTGACAAAGAACTGGGACATGTTGGAAAAAAGTTAAACAAGGCTAAGGAGGACTACAAAAAATACGCTGATGCGAAATGATCCCTGGAATGGGATTTGAAACCGGGAGACTCTGTCTATTTGTCAACCAGGAACATTAAGGGGTTACAACCGCGCCGCAAATTAGGCTGGAAATATGTAGGACCTTTTAAGGTGCTTAGAGTGATAAATAAGGTTGCTGTTGAGCTTGATCTCCCTAAGTCTCTGCTGTCCCTGCACTCTGTGTTTCATTTCAGCTATCTGAAACGAGACCCAGGACTCTCGCATTGGGTGCTGCGTCCTCCAGCTCCGCAACCCCTCTACGGGGCGCTTTGCAGCAGAGTGCACCTGGAGTCATAGTGAGGAGGTGAATTCACAGGGTGAGTGGCGAGAAGGAAAGGGATGAGGCATGAAGATGCCCGAGAAGCGGCCGAAGTCGCCCCGGGCATTGCAGAGTTTGTGTTCTCCAGCACCCCCTCCTCCAGCGATGGGGATGAGCCTCCAGTGCAGGAAAACGACAGGGACCTGCTGTGAAAGGCACCAGCCAGCAGGTCTGCCAAGCATCAGCACAAGACTCGGTGAGAAATAGTTCTTCCTTGCTTTTTGTATGTCAGAATCGGGCTCTGCTGATTGTCATGTTGACTAATGTCTTAATTTGTTTCAGTTGTTTTCGCCTTTGTAGTTTACTTTCACTTTTGGGGCACTTCGATCATTTGGTCTCATCTCTTTCTAGCCCTCTCTGCCATAAATTCCGAGGGATGGGGGGGGGGGTAGGGGTGAATGAAATATATCTGTGTGTATGTGTTGTAAAAGTTAGAATAGCTTGCTTGTTACAACTTTCCCATGAGAACGGCCCCAAGGTGTCTGGCCCATTCGGGAGCCTCTCAACCTTGGAGAAACATCTGTTGCTGAATGATTAACTTTGTAGTGCTATGTAGTATGAAGGGGGGGGAGTGAAAGAGGGTGAGAGGGTGAATGCCCACTGCATGACCATTGCATTATGGGACACTGACCATTTGCCTATACAATACCTAACCCTTGATCTGTTCTTTAGTCTGAACAAGAGATCTCTCTTGTGCACATCTAAATTTCTGTTTTTAATAAAGCTTTCATAAAAGACTATTAAACTGAGAGTGGATTAAGGGTCTGACAGGTAGGTTTCAAATGGTGACATTTTCTTGCACATTGACATTTGATCATTATAGCAGCCTGCTGCCCTAGACAATCAAATTTACTGCTAACATTTACAGAGGCAAACAAATAAAGATATTTAGGACTGAGCAATTATCAGTATTTCAGTGGCAGGAAATGTTATTTATATTTATTTGTTTCAGGTTTTAATGAGCTCAATGGCTATGCTTTCCTTCTTACAGGTCCTTTGTCCAGTGTGACTCATCTTTCATTTCCTTGAACAGAACTACACACTACAAATAATGTGGGCTTGCCAACAAAAATGGCAGTTATGTGTTGCATTCCCTTCTCCCCCTCTGTAATGAGTAGTTAAACTAAACCCTAATCCCAACATTGTTATGATTTGTTTTTCCTTATCATTGGCTGTCACTTGAGGGGGCAGAGACACATACATGCTAATGACATCAGCATATGGGTTAAATGGAATCAAATGTTACTGAGAAGGCTGAGACATACAACACAGAATCTTTCAGTGGCAGCCCTGTGTGCTTCTTTTAATGTGAAATTCTGTTCTTTGAATGAGTGAGGTTTAGTTTAGCACAGCTTTCACCTCCCTAGATGTGCTTCTACTGATATAGCTTGTTCTTTTCAACTAATCGATATGGAATTCATAAAACTGTATTAAGCAAAAGCTATAAAATATTGTGATCTCTTCTCCATTATGGCTTGTGCTAGTTTAAGCAATGCTATCTTTTGTTGCTGGTTCACAGAATTTTATTTCTGAACGATAGACTCCTCACCACCTCCAATTATATTTACATTTATGTTGCCTTAGAGCAGACTTGAAGACTTAAGTTTTGGATATTGTACATCCTAACAAATGGGTTTTGTTTTGTTTTATGTTTTGTTCTTGTTGTAGGAATTGTCAGTTGGAAGGTATCTCAGCTGTAGCACAGCAATTCCATGAAATCTTAGAACCCATGGTTGAATGGCTAACCACCACTGAGAAGAAGCTTTCAAATTCCGAACCCATTGGAACACAGGCCTCCAAATTACAACAACAGATTTCTCAACATAAAGTAAGAACTTCTTGCTTCATTGTTTTGGGCCATAATTTCTTACTTAATTGTTCAACAAATTGAGAAAACTCATTTTTTTTCATTGATGAGTTTGTACATATCTTTATTACTGTCAATTCATAACATTATTTCCATTGTCCTTTTGTGTTCGGTTGTGCTTATTTTTGGTTTACATTTTTCCCTTTCTTTTCTTTTCTTTTCTTTCTTTTTTTACTATTTTGAAAACTTCATTTAGGCCTTAGAGGAAGACATCATTACTCGCAATAAAAATTTACAGAAAGCTATTAGTATTGGTCAGGCTTTAAAGACATTGAGCTCCAGGGAAGATAAAGATATGGTGCAGGAGAAACTAGATTCTTCCAAAGCCCGATATACTGAGATGCAGAAGAAGAGCTGCAGTAGGGCCGAGCTGCTCCAGCAAGCTTATTGCAACGCTCAGATTTTTGGAGAGGATGAAGTTGAATTGATGAATTGGCTGAATGAAGTTCATGAGAGGTTGAGCAAATTGGCAGTTCAAGGCTACATTACTGACTTGCTTGTGAAACAACACACTGAAATGCTGGTATTTGCATTTGTTTTCTGTTGATTTATGTTGCTGCTATTATTATTATTATTATTATTATTATTATTATTATTATTATTTCATTTTTTTAGTCCAGCATCTATTCAGGTAGAAGTGGTGGTTCACTTCAGCTATGTAACTTCTACATCTATAAAACAATTCTCAAATCATTTAGGTTCTTCAAGAAGAGATTCTACTCAGAAAGCAAAATGTTGATCAAGCAATACAAAATGGTTTGGAGCTCCTCAAGCAAGCTACAGGTGAGAGATTTAAGGGAACCAGTGATTTAGCAACCAGTATAACATGACATGTGATTTAGGATCTTCTCTGTGACTGTTAGCACTTATTAAATCCTTGTGAGAATTCACCTTTTTGAAAGTACTTCAATTTGGGTGAGCTTAGGAAAGTCTTTATCTGTCAGCTTCAACCCATCATTGATTATGGAGCTCTTCTTACTCAGATATTTTGAGTAAAGGTATGGAAAAGGTTTGAACATGTAGGAAAATTGCTACATAAATCCTAAAGGTATTAATCAGCCAACATTAAGCATTTTTAGGATCCATTGATTTCAATGGAGTAGTAAAAACCTATGATCATCTCTTATCATTGAAGTCTTATTGATTTCAAAGTGCCTCAGTATATAGAGCATCATATCTATAGGGGTCTCCTCATCTGCGAAAAGGTATCTTCCATCCTCTCAAATTCCATCCCGTTCCCGCTATCCAAATTTAGCTAACCCGCTGTTAACATCAGTAGGGAAAACTTAATCTTACTGCTTTAAAGGGGATTTAATTTAAGAAATCCCACTAATTTCCATAGCGTGAGCAACTTTCTATGTTTACATGTACGAATTTTGCACTGAAGGCATGGACCGTTTGTTTTCTTAGATAAGCCCTTGAATGTACAGGGTTCTGGTAGCACTGATTATTGTTTTCAAGCTTCATCAATAGTAAACCCATTTTATTTGTGATCATATGAAGTTACCATATTGAGTCGGATGATTGGTCCATCAGTCTAGCCCATTTTGGTTGGCAGGGGTTGATCCTGCTACATGTGAAGTATGAGCTCTAACAGTGGCCTTTCTCCCTCCTTTTTGAGCAATAGTTTGTCATTTTTAATTGATTAGTGGGTGGCAGATATGTGGAATTGTCCCATGTGGCTTTTGGAGTTTAAGGAAGGAGTAAATAGTTTGCCACTTAAATATCTGATGCTTTTGACGTAATAGTATGAACTCTCCTCTTTGACTCACTCTCTCTCTCTCTTTTGGAGGGATAAATAGAAAAATGTTATAGTGGCTCTCTGCAAAACTCACAAGTGAATTGAATGATTAATTTCCCTTTTGCTTTAAGAGAGACTGCTTCTCCCACACTACCAGTACTGTGGGAAAGCTGCATTCCAATTGCACACACAGCATGTCTGGTTTGTAGACATACAAATCCTAAATTTTCTAGTTGCTAGCTCCATAAGCTCTCCAAGATATACATAATTTGGGACTGGGAGGCAGGGAGACAAGAGGGGGAGAACTAGTTCAGAAACAGAATGTACATTGTTCACTGAAAGGTGAACTCAGTGTAGTGAATTGTACAGTGTTCATGTGGGCTTTCATTCTTCGTATAGCAATGATAGTTCAGATAGGGTCAGGAACAGATAAAAATGTGTATTCTTGTTTGTAATTGGTGCTGACAACTGAATAACCATCAGGAATTTAACAGATTAATTGACCAATTAAATTTAAATTAATTTGCATGCTACAAAATCTCAATATAGGTGACTTCTTTGAAGACACTGTATTAGGATAATATGCAATGTAATACAAATTTACTTCACATATATATCCTACCTTTCTTCCCAGTGGATACCCAAAGTTGCTTACATTGTTCTTCTCCATCTTACCCTCACAATAACCCTGTGAAGTAGGCTAGACTGAGTGTATGTGACTGACCTAAGGTCAAACAGGAAGCTTCCATAGCACAGCAGGGATTCCAGCCTGGTTCTCCCAGATCCTAGTCCGACACTCTGACCACTACACGAAACTGGCTCCATTTCAAGATCACTGATTTCAGTTGGCTTAGACTGAAGCAGCTTTGCATAGGCTTGCACTGTCATCCTGCTTTAAGATCCAGAATGTTACTGCTGATTTACTGCTGATTTTCCATGTGCTGAAAGAGCCAGAGGAGTTAGCTGTGTTAGTCGCTGCAAAATAGTTGCTGCAAAATAGTAAAAAGCCCGGTAGCACCTTTAAGACTAACAAACTTTATTGCAGCATAAGCTTTCGAGAAACACCGTTCTCTTTGTCAGATGCATACATCTGATGAAGAGAGCTGTGTTTCTCAAAGTTTGTTAGTCTTAAAGGTGCTACTGGACTTTTTACATGTGCTGAAAGGTATCCTGTGTTTTGGAGTGTGCTGCACCATGAACAACAGAGTTTGAGCCCTCCATGTCCTTCATTCATGGATAGCACAGTAAGTACTTTGAGAAAGACCATGTTGTATCCTGCTCAGGGATCTCTAATCTGGCTTGTGTTAATGACATCACCATTGTATGTTTTGCCTTCTTGTTTGTTTATAGCATTTGTTTGCCTCTCTTCCAAAAATGTCTAAGGTGGTTTACAATAATGAAAATATAAAGCAATTGATTTTTTTTAAAAAGAAGCAGCAGATTGAATGTTTTTTTTTTAAATAAAGCCAGGCCTTGTACAAGATCACAGCTTATTCAGATTTTGAGATCAGAAATGTACTTTGATCAGGGTTGCCAGCTCCAGGTTGGGAAACACCTGAAGATTTTGCTGGTGGAGCCTGAGGACGGTGGAGTTTGGGGAGAGACTTCAGTGAAATATAATGCCATAAATAGGGATGTGCACAAACCGGGAAAATGCAGTTTGGTTCGTGGTGTGCCCAGTTTGCAAACCATGAACCATCATGAACTTTTAGCTGCCAAATGGGTTCAATTTTTGACATGGTAGAACCCTCCCCCCTGGCATGCTAGAGACACCAAACTTGCAGGGGATCTCCAGCTGACTACCTGCCTCCAGGTTTGGTGAGGAGTGGGTTTACAGGGTCCAAGCTACAGCCCCCCCCCAAAAAAAGAAGATGTCCCCAGGAAATTGCTTTCTAGGGAAATAACCGGCGGTCATTTTGACAGGCACAGGTTCAGGAGGTTCAGGAGTGTGTATAATGGATCCTGTGCAAGCTAGAGACACCAAACTCACAGGAGACCTCTGGCTGACTCTCCAGGGTCCAAGTTACAGCCCCCAAAGAAGGTGTCCCCAGGAAAGTGCTTCCTGGAGAATTGACAGGTGCAGGTTCAGGTGTGTATAGAGCAGATCCTGTGCAAGCTAGAGACATAAAAGTCCCAGGGGACCTCCCCCAGATGCTCCTCTACATGCCCTCCAAGTTCCGCTCCCCTTTTGCTTTGAAATTTGGTAAACATTTAGATTGAGTGGAGACAGTCTGTCTGGAAATGTATCTATCACGAACCACCACAAACAGCTTGAAAGTCTGTGGAAAGTTTGTGCTGGTTGACTTGTCACAAACTTCACGTCACAAACTTCACTTCACGAACCACAAACTGCCCAAAATTCATCACAAACTTTAGTTCATGAACCGGTTCATGCACATCCCTAGCCATAAAGTCTACCTTCCAAAGAAGCCATTTTCTCCAGGTAAATGGTCCTTTGTCTCCTGGAGATTAGTTGTAATCCCAGGAGATTTCCAGCCACCACCTCTAGGTTGGCAACCCTAGCCTTGATCCTAACATCAACGTATGGTGAGATAAACTCATAGGGATCCCCCTCTGTTTGAATGGGGGTAACTGATCAGTGTATGCTGAGGCATGTGTGAGTATTCTCCACTTAAATGAAAGAGGAAGCTATTCTAGGCAGTGAAGGTCCATACAAACACTGAAAGTCTTATTTGCTTTAGATAAGGTTTTTATTTGTGGAGTAATATCTCTTTCAAATTGCAGGTGATGAAGTTGTCATAATCCAGGATAAATTGGAAGGCATTAAAGCAAGATACAAAGACATCACTAAGCTGAGTTCTGATGTGTCGAAGACCTTAGAGCAAGCTCTACAACTTTCTGGGCAGCTGCAGTCAACTCACGAGGAACTCTGCACTTGGCTTGACAAAGTTGAAGCAGAATTACTTTCATATGAAACTCAGATCCCCCAAGGCAAAGAGTTAAATCAGGCACAAGACAGACAAAGAGTGGGTATAAATACTGAAGATCTTCACATATCTAAGAAGTGATTTCCTGTAAAGAGATGTTTACTTATTAAGTAGTATACTGTGCAGATTTCTGGATGAATATGGCACCTACTTTCGCTGTGGTTAAAATAGAAGATATATTTTCCTTCTTGAAAGCAGTTATGAGATTAATATGGCAATCCTAAACCCTGGATTGGTGCAGCCCTGGTATACCTGGTTGATATCTTATGTCCTCTCAGAATATCCTGCATGAGCCAGGTGTGATGCCAAATCCATAAATCCTTTGCTTTCACACACAAGGTGTAATTGTTTGCTCTGTGTTGATCATATTGTTGTAATTTTTATGTGGTATAAAATGCTAACTGCAACAAATACTTTGTAAATGAAAATCTGAAACATTGTTGCAGTTTAGTCTTTATTTTATCCAGGACGGGACCATTTTATCCAGGACGGGACACAGTATTAACTAAACACAATTAAAGAAATGTACATGCCAAAGATTTTTGTTGCCTTAGGTTTTAGATATATGTTTGAAAGTAAACTCAATTGATACTGGTACACATGTTGTTGTTCAGTTGATTTATACAACAAGGGGAAGGGGGAAATCAGGGTGTCACAAATATGTTTATTACTTTTGTTTGCTTGATTAATGACTGGCAACTCCTTTCACCTCCAAAGAATGGTAGTCGCTGTGCAGACTGTGGGAATGCATTCTGTCAAAACTTCCCTTCGGGAATCACCTGCTTATCTGTTAAGTGACTTACAAAAGCAAAGGTTATTGAGCTGAAATGAGAGTGCTGTTTACAGCTGTAATTTGGGAGCAAAATACTCCAGCTCTTTCCTCTTTGATTAATTAAAGACTGGGTAGGGGACATATATGGAATCTTAGGTTTCTGTGTGTGGATCTATGCCAAAACAGGCATTTTCAATGTTATTTAAAAAAATTATTAGTTTTTCATGCATATAGTACAGTATAACACAATACAAGATAGAACACACAATTGTACAGCCTAGACGGTTAGTGAGTCAGGCAGATTGTAAATCAAATGCACATCAGTAAGCTAAGCGGCCCGCTTATAATTAATTAACATAAAGTCATAAAAATCTATATCCAAACCACTATAATATACAGCTAAACTAAATTAAACCCATTTTTGTCCACCAAACTTTAAGACACTTTGCATTTTAAATGTTCTTTTTATGTTTAGGAACTGAAAAAAGAAGTAAAACAGAATAGAAGCTTACTGGACACTCTCAATGAAGTCAGCAGTGGTTTGCTGGAACTAGTGCCATGGAGAGCAAGGGAAGGGATAGACAAAATGGTCACAGAAGACAATGAACGGTACAAATCAGTGAGTGACACTATAACCCAAAAAGTGGAAGAGATTGATGCTGCCATTCTAAGATCACAACAGGTAAAAACAAAACAAACTAACAAAACATAGTTTTATTGTCTGTTTGGTATGGGAAAAAATAATCTCGGGGGATCTGAATACAAGCTTGAAGCTCATGTTAGTGGAATGCCTTTGCTATAGTTACACAAGAACAGTGGCTGCTTGAAAAGACCATGGTCTTCATTTTAGACATGGGGGTCCAGACCAAAGCAAATCGAGACATTGTTGAAGCCATCTGCCACCTTGTTGATTTAGAAATTATGGATCAGCCTCTTATTGAGCAGTGTTATAAGTGCTCTCCATAAGAATTCCACCAGAGAAAGGGTTGTAGACTCAAACCTCATAACTTTTGCAATCTGCACTGCTATGTAGGTCAAATACCAGCTTGTGTAAACAGTTTCTTGAAATAGAGATGCAAACAATGGTCGGAGGGTACTATGTTTTGTTAGTTTCTCTAGAAAGGCAAATGTTATTTGCAATGGCCAGTAGGATTTTAAAAGACAGTATGTCCACATTAGTATTTTGTTAAGATTCATTCTTCATTTTTTCTAAACATCTAATTTAATCAGTGTGACTCAGTTCATATACGTCTCTTTATAAACGTAGAATGTACTTTCTCTGATTATAAATGTGAGATGACAGCGTGTGTTTGTGGTCTCTTTCAAATAAATTAACAGTATGATGAAGAATTACTCATAAGGGATGTGAAGAAATGCCAGGCCCTCATGCTTTACTTTTAAGACATGAGTCATAATTAAAGAATAAGATCTGACAGCTTATCAGTTAGATTTCACTTTAAGGTGAATGTGCTATCTGAATAACAGCATAAGATGAGCCTTGCTGGTTCAGACTTGCCATCCTTCTAGTCCAGCTTCCTGTTTGACACAGCATCCAAAAACGTTGCCCTGGAAGGTTAGATAGACACTCCAGAGACTAAGACCTTCCCTGATGCTGCCTCCTAGAACTGGTATTTAGAGATTTACTGCCTCTGAATATGGAGGTTTTCTTTAGTCACCATGGGTAGCAGCCATTGATGAACCTATCCTCCATGCATCTGTCTTATCTGTGCTATTGGCTGTCACTTCATCCTCTGGCAATGGATTCCAAATAAGGTGTAAAAGTGGCAATGAAACCACAAAAATGTAATAGTAATATTTCTTAACCTGGTTCAGGAGATAATTGGGCCAGCTTATGTTGGTGAAAGAACATTGTTGAATTAAACAAGCCTAATGAGGAAATCTTTGTAGTTGTGAAGTTTGCATATACCACCACATGTACAAGTTGGCTCAATACAAATTATCACCTTGCCCACCTTTTATTGATTGATTGATCCAATTTATACCCCTCCCTCCCCAGAAAGGCAAGCTCAGGGCGGCGTACACAACATTTCATAAAAATACAATTAAAACCTATATAAACATACTAGGAAAAAGGCCCGTTGTGGAAATAAATACAACGGCCTCTAGAAAGAGGCTCTGGGCGGGTGCCCCAGCCTTGGACACTCAGTGTCAATTTGCTGTGGCGACCTCAGCAGGGTATAATGACACTGAGTCCACCATTTTCTCCAGAGGAACTGACCTCTGCTACCTAAAGAACAGTTGTAATTTTGAGTGATCTCCACCCCTCACCTGGAGATTGGCAATGATGGTTCTCCAGAAGGGAATGGTTGGTTTGGAGGGTGGAGTCTATGGCTTTGTACCTGTCTGAGGTCCCACGCCTCCTGAAACCTCACCCTCTCCAGGCTCCATCCCTCACATCTCCAGGAATTTCCCACCTGGAGTTGGCAACCCTATCTCCTTCCCAGCCAATCATCAACCTACCTTTATTTCCCCCTCACTCTTCAGCTTTCCACCCCCCACACACCTGCAGCCTCTCCCGTACTCTGAAGCCCTGACTACTATGTCACATTGGCTGTCATACGGGGGCCACCTCAACAGCATTTAGGGATACAGAGCCCACCATTTTCTTCAGGGGAACTGATCTCTGCCATCTGGAAAGCAGTTGTAATTCTGAGTGATCTCCAGCCCTCACCTGGAGATTAGACACATTTGACCTCAGAACAGCAAACTGTTTAAAATGATAGAGGCAAAAGCCAATCAAGTCACATATGCAAAAGCAATGCAGCCAGTGGATAGGGACAGATTCTGAGTGACATACCAGGGCGCCAACCAATTCCGGAGCATATGGAATGTTCTAGAGAAGTGCCACCACCATTTGGCTTTTATATATAAGGAAGATAATATAAATAACAATCAATTAAAACAGTTAAAATGCTAGAATATTATCAGATAAAGCAAGAGCAGAAATTATTTCTAATATGGCTTAGGTGATCATATGATTCCCATAACTTTTCTACCAGCTCAGTTCACTCACTTACTATGCGGCGGGCTCAGGCTAGAGACAACGATGGTAGGTCAGGGCACAGGCTGTAAGTGAAGGTAACGATGGTAAATCCAGGGCACAGGGACACTCCACAGTGTATAATGCAGCTCCTTAGTCAAACACCTGGTGGAAGAGCTCCGTTTTACAGGCCCTGTGGAACTTGTTGGGAATAAAACATAAAGTTTATTTACTTTTTAGTTTGTACATGTGTGTGTAAATCAAGTTGCTTCTGACTTACAGTGACTCTAAATGTGCTATTGTTGACAGCCTTGCTCAGGTCTTGCAAACCTAGGGCTTGTGGTTTCCTTCATAGAGTCAATCCATTTCATGTTGGGTCTTCTGCTTTTCCTGCTGCCTTCAACTTTTCCTAGCATTACTGTCTTTCTCAGTGACTCTTGTCTTCTCATAATGTGATCAAAGTACTGTAGCCTCAGTTTAATCATTTTAGCTTCTAGCGAGAGTTCAGGCTTGATTTTTTTTTTTTTGCAAATCTATTCTTTACATGGTCTTTAAGCTCTTTGGGAATGCTGCTTAGTTTGTATTCTGGCACTATGAATGTTTTGGCGTTTTTCTCCCGCTTTATTCTAATTTTTGATATTAGCAATTCATGGTCTGTACTACAATCAGTTCCTGGTATTGTTTTAACAGAGAGAATAGAGCTTCTTCAGCTTTCAATTGTGTAATCTACTTGATTTCTATATTGGCCGTCCAGTGATGTCCATGTGTACAGTCATCTGTTTGGTTGCCTGAAACATGTGATCACAATGAGCAAATTGTTATCTTCAAAGAATTCTATGACTCACTCTCCTGCTCATTTCATGCTTCTAGCCCAAATCTTCCAACAATATTTGATTCGGCTTTGTTTCCTACTTTTGTGCTCCAGTCACCTGTGATAATCAGCACATCTTGCTTAGGTATTGATCAGTTTCTTCCTGGACACTTGCATCAAAGCTTTCAATTTATTCCTCTTCAGCATTTATTTATTGTATTATTTATTTTATTAATTCAATTTATACCCCACCCTCCACGCAAGCGGGCTCAGGGTGACTTACAACATTGGCAGCAATTGCCGATAAAACCAAAAAAACATTATAAAACAATACAGTACAGATAAATTCCTAAAATCATAAGGTGCTATTAGTTATACAGTTCATTGCTTGCAGTAGCATGCTGGAGATGTCTACAGCTGCTGAATTCCGGCTCAGTGTCGTCCTGAGTCACTCGATGGTGTGAGCCAGATGTTAAAACTGAGGGTCAGGCTCATTGATGGTAATAGTGGGGGCAGCTCCTAGTTGAAGGCCTGGTGGAAGAGCTCCATTTTATTTTATTATTAAAACCTAGTTTCTTATCCTTCAAATATAGTTTCTATTCCTTCAAATATATCGATTCCAGTTGCGCTTTCTTCCACCAGGAGAACTGTTCTGGTAATTTCAGATTGTCTTTTTTATCCAAAATGTCCTGGTATCTTAACGATTCTTCTCCCACATATACATTAGGTAAGGTAAATGCCTCTAAAGGAATAATCAGTTATCTTTTAGTATAAAATTTTTTATGTATAGGGTCCGAAACCTTTAATAATGCTGCTCTCAACCAATGTTGCTTAAAATATTTTTGAGGGCCTGCTTTTTCATACCACAAAAAAGCGTTCCTTCCTAGCAGTAAATCATGGCCCTCAATTTTTAAAAGTCTCTTATCTCCTAAAGTAATCCATTCTTTACTCCATACTAATGCTGCAGCTCTATAATACAATAACCAGTTCGGTACTCCAAACCCTCCTCTTTCTTCACATCATGGAAAGTAGCAGATTTCTCCAGTTGTCCAAATCTTGTTTAGTTTTTTGTAGCAGTGCTTTATAGTTGTCTTCATAGAGTGTACTACATTTGTTTGTAACCATAATTCCTAGATATTTAGTTTTTTTATAATCTGACATCTTGTGATTTCTTGTAACTTCTCTTTTTGTTTTTCTTCCAAGTTCTTAGTTATAATTTTGTTTTTTTCTACATTTATTTTGAAGCCCGCCACTGCTCCATACTCTTCAATTTTATCCATCAATGCTCCTGCTGCTTCTATTGGGTTTTCAAGTAGTATTTTAAAGTGTTCTTTCTTTACTTGAAGTCCAGTTATTTTACTCTCTCTTCTAATGGCTTCATTCATAACTTCCAGTACCATAATAAACAAAAGTGGGGATAAGGGACAACCTTGCCTCGTACCTTTCTGAATCTCAAAATTATTTGAAAGCTCACTTTCGCTTTTTGTTCACTATATATTGCTTGAATCATAGTAATAAAACATTCTCCTGCACCTAACATGTGAAATGTCTCCAGCATAAAGGTCCAATTAACATTGTCAAATGCTTTCTCTGCATCCAGAAAGATTATTGCCATCTGCTTCTCATGATGTAATACATAGTATTCTAACACATTCATCAGTATTGATAGGTTTTTAAAAGGATTAGACTAGGGGTCCCCAACCTTTTTGAGACTGTGGGGACCTTTGGAATTCTGACACGGTGGTGGGCACTACCATAAAATGACTGCCATGGGAGGTGGAACCCACCACAAAATGGCTGCTGCAGGAGGCAGAGCCACATACACAGAGGAAACCCAAGTGCAGGGGAGAAGGGGAATAGTTTATAACGATAATGGGAAAGAGGAGTGAGAGAGAATAAAACTAACACTGGTGGCAGCTGCCACTGAAATTATTATTTTAATCTGCCCAGCCAATCAGAAGCTCTGCTGGGCAAGTGCCCCCCCCCACTTTCTAAAAACACTTGATGGGTACCAGGAAAGGTGTTGGTGGATTCCATGATACCTATGGGCATGTTGGTTTAATATTTTTCTTTGTCCTTCTGTAAGTTTTTGCAATTTATATTTTTCCAAATAACTTTGGATTTTTTTCCTTGCTCACTGTTGTTTTCCCGTAAAGTATTTTATAATATTCCTTCATAGCTTTCTTGATTTCTTCATTTCTATGGATTTCCTTCCCATCTTTTCTCAGGACTTTAATAAAAGTTCTTTCCTTCTTTTGACTAATTTTATAGGCTAGCCATCTAGTGGGTTTGTTAGCATTTTCAAAAAAGTTTTATTTTGCAAAATATAATTTCTTTGCTATCTCCTCTTTCAATAAACAATTCATCTGATGTTGTAACATTTGTAGTCTTCTTTTTGCTCCATCATTATTTACTTTAGACATCATAATATTCTCTTGTAGATTTATTTGTTTTTTCAGGTTCTCAAACCTTTGTTTCCTTTGCCTATTTACTTTTGCTGCTTCTTGAAATAATAATCCCCTAGAAAATGCTTTCATTGCATTCCATATCACCTTTAATGATGTCTCTTGTTTTTTATTTTCTTTGAAAAAGACTGTTAATTCTTCCTTCATTTTGTTTATGAAGTTATTGTTTCTTAAGATTCTTAAGTTCACGGTCCATCTGCTTTTTCCCCCAGTTGTTTGCAAAAGCAAACAAAAGGATGTTGTTTGCAAAAGCAAACAAAAGGATGTTGTTTGCAAAAGCAAACAAAAGGATGAGATTCCACATCTGCATTTATACTACCTAGCGTCGCAGCTGACCAATCTCCTGAGACAATACCACAACCCAGAGGATCTTGACTGGCATCATATAGAAGAAACTGCATTGACCCATGGTAATTTCAAAGACCTGCTCTGGATAAATCAACCTCAAAAGCAACTGAAAAAGATTCACAACCCTTATCTGCAGATGACTCTCCAAGTATGGTACAAGAATAAATCTCAACTGACGACCTCTCCATCCAAACCAACAATGGTTCCCACAAGCGTACGAAGAGTCCTCTTTCCAAACATGGAAAAAAGCAGGCATCACAAGACCAATAGATCTAATATCTAAAGGCAAACTACTAATGAAGACAGAACTTGAGCAAAAAACACAAAGTAACATCACGTGGAATAAATATCTTCAAATCCAGCACCTAATTTACGACCAGCAGTTCAAACCTATTTGACAAAAATCACTTACTAGCTTCGAGAAACTAATGGGGAGACACGAACGGAAAAAAGGCCTTATTTCAGTGATCTACAAACAATTACTCAAAAACATAACACACAAACCACCCAGCTACCAGGAAGCCTGGCACAGAGACCTTAAGCAACACTTGACTGATGATCAATGGGGAGACATATGGAAAACCCATGCCAAGATATCGAATTCAAACATCATCCAGGAAGTGGCACTTAAAGTTTTGCACAGGTGGTACCTTACACCTGCCAAGCTATCACACATCTATGTTGGAAACATTGTGGACTAAGAGCCACATACTTCCACACATGGTGGGAATGTCCTTAGGTTACTCAATACTGGAAACAAATTATTCAAAATATCCACTCCCTAACAGGCTATAACTTACCGTATGATCCAGCATATGATCCACTCTAATGGCAGAAAGTGAAGAGGACCTAAAGAATCTCTTGCTCACGGTAAAAGAGGAGAGCGCAAAAGTGGGCTTGAAGCTCAACATCAAAAAAACCAGGATCATGGCATCCAGCCCCATCACTCATTGGCATATAGAAGGGGAAGTTGTGAAAGTAGTGACAGACTTCACGTTCCTGGGATCCCAGATCACCGCAGACTGTGACAGCAGCCATGAAATTAAAAGACACCTGCTCCTTGGGAGGAAAGCGATGGCGAACCTAAACAGCATGATAAAAAGTAGAGACATCACCCTGCCAACAAAAGTCCGCATGGTCAAAGCAATGGTATTCCCAGTAGTCATGTATGGCTGCGAGAGTTGGACTATAAGGAAGGCCGAGCGCCGAAAAATAGATTCTTTTGAACTATGGTGCTGGAGAAGACTCTTGAGAGTCCCTTGGACTGCAAGAAGATCAAATCAGTCAATCCTAAAAGAAATCAACCCTGACTGTTCCCTGGAAGGCCAGATAATGAAACTGAAGCTCAAATACTTTGGCCACCAAATGAGAAGGGAGCACTCACTGGAGAAGACCCTGATGCTGGGAAAGACTGAAGGTCAAAGAAGACGGGGACGGCAAAGGATGAGATGGTTAGACAGTGTCATAGATGCAACGAACATGAAATTGAGCCAACTTCAGAGGACGGCGGAAGACAGGAGGGCCTGGCGGGAGATGATCCATGGGGTCGCGAAGAGTTGGGCTCGACTGTGCGACTGAACAACAACAACATGATCCAGCGATGATTCTGCTTCACCTCTGGCCCAAGGATAGCCCTCCTGAAATACGAAAACCACTGATTAACATTTTATTAATAGCAGCCAAGGTATCTTTGGTGAGTAAATGGAAATCAGACTCACTCACAACCATGCACAATGGCTCCACAAAGTGTGGGATTTCTTCCTGCAAGAGAAAATATCCATGTGGACCACTAATGTAGATGCCGAAAGTCAACTGCTTAACCTCATGGACAAGTGGTCACCCTATACTTGAGAAAATGAACATTGATAAGTTCGATTGGGAGAACATCAAAACTCCCAAATTCAACACTCTTCTTTATGGGTAAAGCTGAAATACAAAAATGCCCACTTTAATTTACAAATAGCACAATATAAATATAGGGGTCAGCGCAACCATAACTACTATGTTTATTCAAATAGAGCAATATATTACAATGTGCTTCCTCTTTTAAAGTTTGGTACCATGTGAGAACCGGGTTTTTTTCCATGTTTTTATGTAGTACAACTGTACAGTGTGTTAAAAGTTGAATATTCAAATAGAGCAATATATTACAATGTGTTTCCTCTTTTAAAGTTAGGTTAAAGTTACCTTTTCAATAAACAGTGTTTTTAGAAAAAATGTTCAGCCAGACCAAGAGGCTGCTTAATTTAGCATTTCTCAAGGCTTCAAACCAGGCCTCAGAGGACTCAAACTAGCTTTCAAGTACCTCAAGCAACACTGTTACCCAAAGGGAGTTTGGAAGGAGGTCTCATGTTATTCTAGGGTTGCCAGCCTTCTAAGTACCACTGTGTTACAATCCCTATATCTCAATTTTTGAAGCTGTTTTTGCCAAGGATCTATTTTTCTTTGAATACAAGCTACCACACGATTGATGGGGTTCTGTTTGCAAATTATTCTTTTTACTTCTGTGTCATTTCTTTAGTTTGATCATGCGGCTGATGCTGAATTGGCTTGGGTTGCGGAAACAGAGAAGAAACTGCTGTCTTTGGGTGATATTAGACTCGAACGTGACCAGACCTCTGCTCAGCTACAAGTTCAAAAGGTAACATGGTTCCATCTCTTACATGTTAGCCAGTTTGCCATGATTTGAGTGTCAGACCATTACAGAACATGTTTTTCCTCTGTGTTCTCATATTTTTAATATCACAATATTTTATTGTGTCATTAGGTATTTACTATGGAGATTTTAAAACATAAGGATATGATAGATGAACTTGCTGCATCTGGTGATGGAATTATGAAGACATGCACAGAAGAGGAGACCCAAGCAATGAAGGTAACGAAGTGCTTACTTTCTTAGTAATGTTAGTCTCTATCCATGATTTTTTTATTCTGCAAAATACCCTGAAGTATGCTTTGAAAAATTAAGCTACCACAATGGTTGACTCTACCTGCATTCTTCCTTCTGGAATAGGAAGACCCCAGATGGCTTTGTCCCCCATCCTACCAGTCTGTTAATAGCAACAGCATCCCACAGATATGGAATAAGAACATACCAGAATGCCCTGATAAATCAAGGGAAATGCCAGAAGCGTCACCGTTTCTCAGATAGCTTGGTATCATTCCTCAGCCCTGACCTTTTTAAACCCAGAAACAAAACACATTGTTTCATATTTCAAAGGATTGTGCAGTCACTAACCAAAGTTTCATTTCCACTCTTAAGAGCTGTTACCTGATCAAAGAGATGATCTTCAGTAAGTACTTTCTCTTGGGTTGGTCAGCATTATCGGTACATGGACTGTGGCATTTTGGGATGAAAAGCTTTTTCTTTATTTTTATCCATGCTTGAATCACCAGTTCTACACTTCTCATACGCCTGTTACAGCACCCCCACATACACACATCTCAGTTTTCCACTTCTGTATGAACACCTTCCTTTCAATATACATAACTTTCCATTGCTTGTAGTGAACTTCAGACATACATTACTCATGCCACATTCCCTTTGAACCACAGCTGAAACCCACCCGCTTCTCCTTATGTCCCTCCCCCTAGAGCCTGTAAGCCCAAAACAAACAGGAAGATAGAATAGGATATAATTGTAAATTTATAGTTACGGTGTTTCCAAGAGAGTTGCCTATAACCAGGGGTCTTTTGGGGCCGGAGTGTGGCGGAGCACCGCTCCGGGAGCCCGGAAGCTGGCAAAATGGTGGTGGCAGCAAGCCCTGCCCCCACCTCCCCATGCTACGGCCTGTCGCTGGCCTCCCGGGGCCTGTGCAGGAGCGCTGCGACCCCAGGGAGGCCTAAGGAGGCCCGTTGCCACCTTCCCAGGGCCTGCGCTGGAGCGCTGCGGCCGCAGGGAGGCCCAAGGAGGCCCGTCACCACCTCCCTGGGGCCCGCGCCGGAGTGCTGCCGCCCTGGGGAGGCCAGAGGAGGCCTGTCACCACTCCCTGGGCCAGTGCCAGAGCGCTGCGGCCCGGGGGAGGCTGGAGGATGCCCGTCGCCGCCTCCCTGGGCAGGATTCTTTATGCTAAGTTACTTCCAAGTGGGTTATAATTACTGGTTATGTTTCGAGCTGTTTTGCCAGATGTTTTCTCTGTGCTAGTCTAATGGGATTATTCTATCAATGGAATTAATCTGCTAATACATATGTATATGAAAGAAGAAAAAGCAGTGGGGAAGATTATATTTTCTATAATAACCCCACTCCTCTCTACTTTCATATAAATATACCATCAATGGGGTTTGATGCCCATCTGCCCAACTTTCTGATCCATCTGGGCATATACTACAGACTCATCCAGGGTTTGGGGACTGATTGCCATTTTATATGTTTTTAGTTATTGTTGCATTTTAATCTGAATCACAGTATTGTATTTTAACCGTTTTAGTGGGTAGTAACCTGCCCTGAGCCCACTTGCGGGGGAGGGTGGGATAGAAATGTGATAAAATGAATGAATGAATATTATAAGGAAACAATAGTAGATAAGATACAAGAATCTCTGCCATGATAGAAGAATTTGTACCATATTTGAAAAGGAAACAATAGCTAAGATACAAGAACCTAGGAGACATTGTATACAGGAGCATCTGATTATGGCTTTGGAAAAATGTATGCCAAATCGTTATTCTGTTGTTAGTAGAAAAATGCCCAAGCAACACCATTATCTTTTTTTTTAACTGCCCCAAAGGGCAGGGTTTTAATCTGAATCACAGTATTGTATTTTAACCATTTTTAGTGGGTTGTAACCTGCCCTAAGCCCACTTGTGGGGGAGGGTGGGATAGAAATGTGATAAAATGAATGAATGAATGAATATTATAAGGAAACAATAGTAGATAAGATACAAGAATCTCTGCCATGATAGAAGAATTTGTACCATATTTGAAAAGGAAACAATAGCTAAGATACAAGAACCTAGGAGACATTGTATACAGGAGCATCTGATTATGGCTTTGGAAAAATGTATGCCAAATCGTTATTCTGTTGTTAGTAGAAAAATGCCCAAGCAACACCATTATCTTTTTTTTTAACTGCCCCAAAGGGCAGGGTTTTAATCTGAATCACAGTATTGTATTTTAACCATTTAGTGGGTTGTAACCTGCCCTTGCAGAAGTTCATTGAATATTGAAGACTGTATGTATTATTTCACAATTTTATTAAGTTGTATTTAAGTCATTTGTGAGACTTTTTGGAGTTTCTTGTTTCCTATTATATTGTATTTGTTATTGTTGATAGGAGATTGAGAAAGATCACTCGAAACGAACGCAGATAGACTCGAGAAGTGTTCGTCCTTGTTCCTGTGCTGTATACCTGCTAGCACCTGCTGGAAAACAAATATTAAATTACATCTTTGATATTTGAAATGTATTACATCTTTATATTTTTGTGAACTTTTTCAGCAATTTATTTCGTATTTACTATTTGGAAAAATGTATGCCAAATCGTTATTCTGTTGTTAGTAGAAAAATGCCCGAGCAACACCATTATCTTTTTTTTAACTGCCCCAAAGGGCAGGGTTTTAATCTGAATCACATTATTGTATTTTAACCGTTTTTAGTGGGTTGTAACCTGCCCTAAGCCCACTTGTGGGGGAGGGTGGGATAGAAATGTGATAAAATGAATGAATGAATGAATATTATAAGGAAACAATAGTAGATAAGATACATAGTAGTAGATAACGTTCTCTGGTCGTCTAAGGTAACCCAATCTCTAATCCAGTCCAGTGCCACTGCTCTATAGTATAAAATCCAGTTGGATAATCGAAAGCCTCCCCTTTCTTTGAAGTCTTGTAGGGCCTTTAGCCTTATTCTAGGGCACTTCCCTTGCCAAATAAATTTCAAGACCAACTAGTCTAGGTCTTTAAAGATTTTCTTGTTTTAGCAAAATAGGAATTATCTGGAACAGGAAAATCCATCTGGGAAGTACATTCATTTTGATTAGAGCATTTTGTCATCATAATTCCTAAGTATTTTATTTTCTCTTGTGCCTGGAAGTTTGAAATTTCTTGTAATTGATTCATCTGTTTTGTGTCCATATTCTTAGTCATGATCTTAGTTTTGTTAGTATTCACTCTCAAACCTGCTACTTGACCATAGTCTTGAAGTTCCTCCTTCAAAGTGTTTATAGAGGCCATGGGATTCTCTAAGATAAATACTAAATCATCTGCAAATGCCAGTAGTTTAAACTCCTCTCCTCTCATCTTAAGCCCAGTGATCTGTTTTTCATTTCTAATTGAATCATTGAGTATTTTGAGTGCAAATATAAATAAAAGCGGTGAGAGGGGGCAACCTTGAGTCCGATCACCATTGATCATAACAGTTGCATTTTGTTTGGTGTAGATGGCTTGAATCATCTTAACAAAATCAGGTCCTGCCTGGGCCATTTCGAGTTTCCATTAGAAAGGTCCAGTTGAAATTATCAAAGGCCTTCTCTGCATCTAAAACGATCAATGCCAGTTGCTTTTCTGGGTTGGCCTCATAATACTCTAAAAAATCTTAAATTGTTCCTTATTTCTCTTTTAGGCAGAAATCCTGCTTGGTCTTTATGTATTGTTTTTGATAATATTCTTTTTCCGCTATTACCGAAGCAAAAATTTTGTAATCCACATTTAATAGGGAGATCAGTCTATAGTTTTTAATTTCTTTTTCCTCTGAACCTTGTTTGTGTATCAAAGAAATTATTGCTTCTTTCCATGATTCTGGAGCCTCTCCGCTGTCCTTAATATTGTTACATACATCTTTTAAGGAGGATAACAATTGTTCCTCAAATGTAAGGTAGAATTCTATAGGAAGACCATCTGGTCCTGGTGCTTTACCTTTGTTTTGTCATTTCAATGCCTCAAATAGTTCCATCATAACAATTGGCTGATTGAGTATCTTCCTTTGAGCTTCTGTAAATTTCTTCGGTTCGTGTAGTTCTAGATATTCCTTTATCTGTTCTTTGTTAGTATCTGATTTTTATAGAGTTCTTTATAGAAGTTTTCTACAACGGTTTTCATCTCTTGCAATCTGTTTGTTTCTGTTCCATCTCCCTTGTTTAATGCCTTTATATAAGATTTCTCTTTTTGAGTCCGTATTTTATAGGCCAGCCATCTTGTTGGTTTGTTGGCGTTCTCAAAATAATTTTGCTTAGCAAACACCAATTTCTTAGCCAATTCTTGTGTGAGTAAACAGTTCATTTTATGTTGTGATAACTTGAGTTTGGATTTCGTATCTACAGATGCTGGGTCCACAATCAGTTTCTCTTCCTGGGTCTGGATTTCTTTTTTAAGGTTACTATATTCTTGCTTCCTTTGTTTATTCACTCTGGCTGATTCTTTTACCAATTGTCCTCTAGAAAAAGCCTTACAGGGGACCCATACCACTTTTATGGACATGTTTGGTTGTATATTTTCCTTAAAGAAGAACTTAAGCTCTTCCTTTATTTTATTGACAAACCTGGCATTTTTCAAAAGAGATGTATTTACTGTCCATCTACTTCTGGGTTTAACTTCTTGTAACTCCAGAGTAATAGGTTTTTGGTCCGCATAAGTTCCCGTTTCTATCTCTACTTCCAATAGATCTTTAATCGCCGTAGTCAAGATCCAACACATATCCAATCTAGACCATGACTCATGTCTAGCTGAAAAGAAAGTATATTGTTGTTTAGTCGGTTCTTAGTCTCCACGCATCCACTAATTTCAGTTCTTCCAAAAGCTGATACAGGGCGGGTGGAAATTCATTACCTCCTTTCTTCTTCCCCTTCTCTTTGTTTTTATGTGGATTTGTTTTTCTGTCTTCCTTTTTATCAAAGACTGCATTGTAGTCCCCTATAATACAGATCTCCTGGAATTTCTGTTGAGTAATCAAATTTTGCAATCTTATGTAGAATTTTTCTTGATGTTGATTTGGGGCATAAATGTTCACAATAAGCATCCTTTTCATTTGTCTTTGTATTGCAACCATTAGAATTCTTCCATCTTTGGATGTGTAAATTTGTTCAGGCTGGAGATGATCTTTTACTACTCCTCTTTTCTTTTTCTCTTTATCTGATGGTATGAAAATTTTCCAAATTTTCTTGCCAAATACTTGCAAATGGTTTTCATCTGCTTTTTAAATATGTGTTTCTTGAAGACATACAATGTCTAATTTTTGCTTTCTGAGTTGATGAAATATTCTCCTTCTTTTCTGTGGTCCATTTAGACCGTTCACATTCACTGAGATAATTTTTATTTTACCTCTATCCATCTTGATTTTGGTTCTGTTTCTCCTGTTGTTCTCTTGTGTATTGTCTTGTGTTAACTGGGGATTTCCTTGTCGCTCCAGTTCTTCTTATTCTCTGTGTTTTCACGATTGATGCCTCCGCACCTTGTAGACTTTTTTCTTCTCCTTCTACTTCTCCCTCTTCTTTTCCTTCTTGTTCCATTGACAATCTGTCTCCATGAGTTTTTAGAAAGTCTTCCGCCTTGAAGATTGAAGTTATCCTGTGTTTTTTGCCTCCAAAAGTAAAGATCAATCCTTCGAGTAGGAGCCATCTGTAAGTTATGTTGTCGTTTCTCAACAATGTTGTCAAGATAGTATATTCTTTTCTCTGACTCTCCAGGGAATTTCTTTTAAAATGTTGATTTCTGTCTCTTCCATCATCAGTGGTGTAGCATTCACTTCTCTCAATATCTTGTCTCTGACTGGCCTTTTGTGGAAACAAATTTGTACCTCTCTAGGTAGTTGGAATCTCCTTGTATAGGCTGAGTTCATTCTAAAAGTAACATCAATTTCTTGAGTAATCTTTTCCACATCTTCCATATTCATGTGTTCAGCTAATAATTTCGCCATTTTATTAGGGAGATCTTCATTCTTTTCCTCAGGTACATTTTGGAATCTTAATATAAAAGCAGCTCTTTCGTAATGTCTTGTTCCACAGTAGACTGTCTTTCATCTGTGTCTCTGAGCTTAGTCTCAATTTCTTTTGATTTCTATTTTTTCTGTTGTAGTGTTCAATTCCATAATCTTCTGAGTATTATCTGTCATTTGTTTCTGAAGTGCTTGCAAGCTTGTTGAGAACTTTTCCGTTATTTCTTTCATCGCATTCTTAATGGGATCAACTGCTTCTGTAATAGAATTTCGAACTTCCTCCATAGTAGCTTTAATTGGTTCCACTGCATTGCTTATGGAACTTAAGATGGTTGTCTGGACCAATGCCTGCATCTCTTTTGTGGGAGCTGAAAATTTTGAAGTGGTAGAGCTGAGAATTCCTGGTGAAGAAGATGTTTTGATTGGTTTAATTTTTTTTTGGCCCCCCGAAGGGGATTTTTTTATTGCTTTTCTAATAACTATAAACTGAAAATTAGGACAGAGAAACTACAATCTAAGGGAGAAAGTAAAGAAAACCCTCTAAAAACCCAAGAGATGGTGATCATACATACATTTGCAAAATTACCTTTAAGCTTAAACACAAGTTAACTTTCATTGAAAATGATCATCTATCTTTTTAAATACTTAGATATTCATCAACAATTCTAATTTCATAAAAAGACTGTAAAAAGATATACAATATACTAGTTTTAGATACTCCAGAGTAGATTAACAATCTATTTCCCCCCTTTCTGTGTCTCAATTGATAGCTTTGTTTGGGGGCAGCAGCCCCCTATTTAGAGTCAGTCTTCTTCGGAAGATCCAGCCTCTCCTTCTTCTTCACTTTCTTTGGCAGCATCGGTCGCACCTTCTCCTCCTGGGCTACTATGTCAATACAAAAACTCACAAGCCTTTTCAACAGAGTCAATCCTTTCTTTTCCATTTGCATATCTAAAGATTAATCCCTCGGGTGTTAGCCATCTGTAGCAGACATTGTGCTTTTGTAGAAATAAAACCAAGTCTCTGTATTTCCTTCTTTTCCTTCTTATCTCAAATGGAATGTCTTTCAGTACGCTTATGTCTTTGTCTTTTATCTTCAAGGTCGCTCCATTACATGCTTTCAATAGTTGATCTCTCGGGGCTTGGAGTAACTCCCCCCACCGGCTTATCTCACCGAAGGGGGCTCTCTAGCACCCTAAGGCTTGGAGCCCTTCACTTGGGCTCCTGGGGTGGTGCGGACGATTGTGCCCCCTCCCAGCCATGGGCGCTGGCAGGTCCGGGAGAAAACGACTGCCATGGCAATCGCCAAAACCGGAACTTTTGGGTCCTGACCCACACGTTGGAAAACCCTGGGATAGTGAGAATGCCTCCAGTGCCATTTTGAACAGTTCTCTTGGAACGTTGTGCCCGGGGTTTTCACCCTTCCTGATAAACGCCCAGAAGAGGCTGCACATAGCCAGTTTGGTGTAGTGGTTAAATGCATGGACTCTAATATGGAAGAACCGGGTTTGATTCCCCACTCCTCCACTTGCACCCGGCTGGATCTTGCTTGTCCTGCCATCTTAGAAATCGGGACTGTGTTGCTTGAAGCTATTAAATTGATTCAATTTGGCAATGAGCCCTAAGTTTTTCTTCCACTTTAGCTCAGGTACTTATTTTCTTTCTATGAAGTTTGTTTTGGGACACCAAGAGCCCTTGGCTGACTGCCCAAACCTTATTTCTAATAACCAAGTTGGATATTTGGCTGAGTGCCCAAGTCTTGTTTAGTGAAGCCATGTTGGATGTTTGGGTTTTCTCCCATACAGTGTTTTTGAACCGAAAACCACAAATATGTGTCTCAAGGTCAGTTGCACTCGTCTCTCCCCATCTACCAATTTTTAATTCAAAGGCAAAATAACCATGGGGGGTACAATTTTAAAAGCAGTTGTTTAGTCCTTCTAAATTAAAATGACTATAACTTTTTCCCTGAAGCTCCTTTCAGCTGTTACATTTTTATATGTTTTATTTATTTCATCCAATTCTATTTTTATTTTTCTGAGACCCCTAAAAAATTTGTAAAGGGTTTCCTGATACTCCACACCCTGCCCCTGATGGCGTAAAAATTGGTAACGTTGAAAAGAGGTCTCTATTGTCTCTATAAACCAGCAATGAGTGAGATTAGCCTTTAATATGTGAAATAGTCAATTACTTAGGCAAGTTTCTCCTAAAAAATCGCCCTGTAGCCCAAAGTGAAAGTAAAGTTGTCTCCGTCTGTCTCCTTTCATTGGCCGCTTTATGCCGGGGGGGGGGGGACTCCTCCTTAAGCTTTCAGTCTTTTAAGGGCTCAAGTTTTGATAATTCATTCTTTATATGCCCCGAAAATAAGATTTATTACTCACAGAAAGTCCAAGCGCTTGACGGGCGGCATTTCTAACCCCCCCTCAGCGCAGGAAGCAGCAGCTTCACCCATAGGAATGGGCTCCTCTTTGGGTTGCACATTGGAGGCGATCCCTGGTTCTCCCTGTGAGTAGCCACGGCACGGGGGAACGGATCAAGCCTTAAGCATCCCACTATCCCTTCTCCGGGAAGTGGAGGGTCTCGACCCCTAAAAAATTTGTAAAGGGTTTCCTGATACTCCACACCCTGCCCCTGATGGGGTAAAAATTGGTAACGTGCTGCAGCCTGCTCCAACACCATTATCTTCTTGGGGGGAAATTTAGATCTGTATGACTTCATAGTGGAGTATGGAAACCAACCAAAACGATTAAGGAGGACTTCTTCACACAACACATAATCAATATGTGGAACCCGCTGACACAAGATCTGGTGATAGTCTCTAGCTTAGATGACTTTAATTTTAGTCAGAACAGGCAACATAAGCTGGATAATTTATAAATAAATGTATCAATAAATGTTGTCAGGACAGACAAAGCAAAAGACTAGACAAATTTTGCCAAGAGAGGCAAAAGAAAGTACTTCTTCTTGTCACACATAGTTAATTTACATAATTCTCTGCCAGAAGATGTGGATTTAAAGGAGAAGGGGCTAGACAAATGAATGAAAGATAGATGTATCAAAAAGCCAGTAGTTATAATGGTTAAATTGAACCTCCGTGTTCTTAGGCAGTGTACCCCTGACTACCAGCTGCTGATAGATATGATGTTCCTGTTGTCCTCAGGTTGTGCTTCCTTGAGTGAGAGCATCTGGCCAGCAGCTCTGAGAAACAGGGTGCTGGACTGGATGGCTGGACCATTGGTCTGATTCAACAGGAGGACAGGCTCCCAGCCGTTTGACTAGGGGGACCACTTGTGCTTGGGTGTAGGGGAGGAAGCAAAGACAACTTTAGAGGGATGGGTCTGGCTTTGTTGTAAGCCAGGTAGCTATTAAGCGGCTTCCTGTAGCCTACTTCCAAAGACATGGCCCCCCACATGTGGGAGGGGGACCTGAAGCTCCAGGTTTCCCTCTGGTCTGCAGCTTGGATTGAAAAGGAACTGGGTGAAGGTGGTATGCCATTCTAAATGTTTTCAGCCAAGACATAAGTGCTATTGTCTGTTGACCTATTTCTTTAACAGAAGAAACTGGAAAGCCTCTTACAGAAATATGATACGCTCTGTCAGATGAACTCTAAAAGGAACCTCCAGCTAGAACGTGCACAGTCTCTGGTTAGCCAGTTCTGGGAGACATATGAAGAGATTTGGCCATGGTTGACTGAAACAAAACTGATTATCTCACAGCTTCCAGCACCAGCTCTTGAATATGAGATTCTAAAGCAACAGCAAGAAGAACATAGGGTAAGTGTGCAGACAGCAAAATAAGAGTAAACTCATTATAAAAAGAGTTCATTGTATTGATTTACAATAGCAATGTTTTATTATTCATAGAATCATAGAATATTAGAGTTGGAATGGCCCTTGCAGGTCATCTAGTCCAACCCCCTGCACTCTGCAGGAGCATAGCTGAAAGATAGCCCTACATACCTACAACATACCCGAAAGATGGTCGTCCAGCCTCCGCTTGAAAACGGAGTTGAAAACAACTGCATCACAGAAGTTGTCAGATTGTTTAAATATGAATTGCTTAATTGTAGTAACAAGCTAACAAATGGAAGCTGCATCAGTAATTATATAAAACATGTGAGACCATATAGTATCTTTCAGGTTGACAGAAAATACTATGATTCAAAATGGATGCTGTTGTGGAGTCACCTTTAAAACATAAGTACAAGAACCAACTTTTCTGATTTTTCAGTGGACAGGATTTCCCAGTACACACATTGCAAAGTACATGGTCAGAGTTGTGGGTTCTCTTCATTTCTCATGTGAGCAGTGCCAGATTAGGAGGTGCACATGGAGAAGAGGCTTCAGTCTTTCCTTTCTTGAGACATTTGAGTGACCTGAAATGATCTGGGGGGAGGAGCTATGTGGCTTGCTGGGAAACCCAATGGTATTGCAGAGAGGCTGAAGCCTTTTCTTCACTTGTGATCCTGATCCAGGTCAGGCACCTAGCATCCAGCAATTGAAGAGGGTCTGCAGCTTTGTTCTGGCTGCTATACAGGGTAGAGATGTTTAGATACCACCTGTGTACTCCATAATGTGTGAATTAGTTTTGCTCATAGTGGGAAACACAGAATCACAAAGAAGCCTTTGGCTCTATTCACCATGAGTTATATTTTGCCTTAGTATGTAGGATATTTGTTTAGACTTCTTTGCCAGCTGGACGGGGTTGGCATGCAGACAGCTGTAATATGGCAGTGTAAGGCTAGGATACTGATAAGTGTTTTTCTTTGCTATAGCAACTACGAGAGTTGATTGCTGAACACAAACCTCATATAGATAAGATGAACAAAACTGGACCTCAGCTTCTGGAGCTGAGCCCACAAGAAGGATTTTCAATCCAAGAGAAATATGTAGCAGCTGATGCCCTTTACAGTCAAATTAAGGAAGATGTCAAAAAGCGAGCTCAGACCCTGGATGAAGCCATTTCTCAGTCTACCCAGGTAATACTCTCTATCAGACAAGCAATTCGATCCCCCCACCTGAGGATGTTGTTATCTTATGTCAATACACTCAAGGTATATTGTAGGCTTATCAGGAATGTAACCTACAAAGGACATGAGAATGAATGCTTAGGCCATTGTTCATGATTTTGATTTTCCTGTTTGTTAGTGGACTAGGACATTTTGTATTGGTAAATCTGACCTTTTAAAATAAAAATAAAACCAGATTACCTCAAACTATTTATTTTGGAAATATCTCTGGTTAATATGTGAATTTTACCTTAAAAATGTTAACATGAAAGTTTTATGAAAACATCCTCATAAACAGCTATTGTGTATAGTAGTATATAGAGTACTGTTCTGGGGAAATCCCCTTTCACTCTGCCTGAAGCTCACCTGCATGACTTTGGGTCAGTCACTGCATCTCGGGGGGGGGAGGTGTGTGAACATTATAGGCTACCCTAAACAACTTGGAGGAAGAGCTGGATAAAAATAAATAAATAACCTGAAATCTCACGCTATGTGGAAATTGCAAAATTTTGTATTCCTGGTAATCAATTAAGAAGACAACTGTAGATGGTACTTGGCATATGGGCAGCCAAGGATTACTGCTGTTGTCTTTGCCAAATGATGGGAGGGCCGGTTACTGACTCACCTGCGCCTTTTGACTCCCCTGCTCCTTCCAAGCCACTGAAACAATTCTGTAAATAGTAAATGTATGTTAGTATGCCAGTCTTATTTGTGGTTTTTGGACCAGGCCTTAGCTGTTAATGGTGCAAAAGGAGTCATCTGTTAAAGCAGAAATACACTTCTTTTCTAAGAGATAGGATAGCGCTGCAAAAATTGATTAGGAAGGATGGGTTATTGAGGGAATGCCAAACAAAACAAAAGATAAAAAGGTCAGCATGACAGAGGAGAGAGGAGAGTGGTCTTCAATGGGAAAATCATGAGAGCAAATCCTAAACAGGTCTACTCAGATGTAAGCTCCATTTTATTCAGTAATGCTTACTCCTAGGAAAGTGTAGGATTGCAGGCAATAACAGGCAGAGGGGGTGTCAAGATTTATGCCGACAATATTCATTGGCATCATACCTGGAACCTCTCAAACATTAACAGGTTATAAAATAGTTCTTTCCAACTTGATTTATTAGTTGGTATTATTGGGGAATTAGAGGTCCAGAGAGTTGATGACCTTCTTTCTACAGAGGTCAAAGCTGAAGGTGTTAAGATAGCAAGCTTATCCATCTTGTTCATGTTTGTCCATCAAATAGTCATGAGCACTTCTAAGCAGGGTTCTTTCCTCCTTCCCTTCACTGATGGAATAATCTGGAAGACTCCATTTACTGCCAATTACTGATATCTTTGTGAACTATTCTCAACAAAACTAGCTCTGTGTTTAACATTAGATTATCACTGTCCTTTTCACCCTATCTGGTAACACTAGATTTACATTTCCAGAAATCCCTTGATAGTTGAAGCTATCATGTTTGTTGGTTAAGAAATGTTTGATGGAGAACAGGGACCAGTCCAACCCAACATAAGTAAAGCATAATGTTTTGGTGCAGCTGTTTGACAGAGCAATCCTAAACAAAGTTACTGTCTTCTAAGCCCAGAGAGTTTTATTCGTGACATCTGAATACAGCCCAAAAGTTAGTAAACTCTGCGGCTAAATAGTGCTTGCTAAGTGTTGGTGTCTTATATTTAAACATCTAAAAAAATACACTTCCAAATGGCATATGTTCTGTAGCTGCAGTAAATTCTCCTCCTTTCTGTATACTGAAGGACCATTCTTTATCATCCCACTGAAAATGACAAAAAGGTCCTCTGTTTATATAGCCTTCTCCCTGAGCCTGCCTCAAGATTTCGGGAGCCAGGTCTGCAGGAGGGCTCCCAGGCAGCAGGCCTCCTTTTCTTCTGGCTGCGTACCACACTTTCATGGCATTGGGGTAAAGGTCCTGCCAGACATGGAGTTGTTGCCATGGCATTTCCAGGGGGTATAGTAAAACTTACACTATATATGGATCTTCAAAAGGAGCCCAAGGTATTCATTTAACATTATGACTGAATGTAGGTGAAAGAAAAAAATGCATTACACTTTCCCATTTAGGAACGTCACATACAGGAGACTATTAATACATGACATAAAAGTAGAATGCAATTGATCAGTGTTACAAGGCTTCTTACAGTGCAGTCCTATGCAGAGTTACATCCTGCGAAGTCCATTTAAGTCAGTGGCCTTAGAATGGTATAGATCTGCGTAGAATTGCATTGGTAGCTGAGTTACAGGAGGATCTTGTCCAGACACGTCAACTGAGATGCATTAAACTTCTGCTGCTTGAGCTAATAGGCAGTGCTTTTGTGGCATAAATCTGTTGATGTTTGGTGGCCAGTTGCAAATATAAAACCCTCTTATGTACATATACAGTTGAGGATATTTCAGAACCTTAATTCAGAACTAACTTTTGTCATGGCTGGTCTAATATTACTCACCCAGTTTTCCCCCACTCCCATTTGTCTGCACAGTTCCATGACAAGATAGATTCAACCACTGAGAGCCTGGAACGCATCATTGAGCGTTTGAGACAGCCACCTTCGATCTCAGCAGAAGTTGAGAAGATTAAAGAACAGATCAGTGAAAATAAGAATGTGTCCGTGGATCTGGAAAAACTTCAGCCAGTGTATGAAACACTGAAGCAGAGAGGGGATGAAATGATTGCACGTTCAGAAGGTGCTGATAAAGATATATCTGCTAAAGGTAAGTCAAATTGAGAATGTCCCTTTATAGTTGAGGTAAACAATGTGGTAGAATATGGGGAAAAAGAAATCTCCTGCAAGCCAGTAATTATATTATTTTTCTTTTGGAAAAACAGATAAATGTTGTATGAAAATGATCTGATGGTTATTTAACTGAGGTTGGTTAAGGACAGCTTCTAGGACAAAACATGATTATGGAAGATCCATTTATGGATTTCCTGAATTCTTTAAAATGCTAAACTGACAAGTTACTTCTGTTTGTCTTTTAGGGCAATCATAGAGTTGCCATACAAGCAATGTTCCCTAAGCTGTGGAGTCTTGTGAACAAAAATTGTACTTTGTGAGTTACTGGCATTAAAGTTGTGAGCAAGCAATTTGGCTACTGCATAAATTAGTTTGCTCTGGAGTCATCCTTCCTGACCTAAGACAAAAATAGGTGAACCAGGGGCTACAAAACTGAGCTAGCTCACATTACTCAGCTTAGATGGAACACTGCATACAAGTTCCTTAAAATGTTTCCAGAATGAACACGTTTTCATTATGATCATTATGAATGTTTTTATTAACAGTTTCATAGAAGATCTTAATTTACCTGGTGATGTAACTATTGATTGTATTGTCCTGCTTAGTGGTTCAAGATAAGCTGGACCAAATGGTCTTCATCTGGGAAGACATCCATGTTCTGGCTGAAGAAAGGGAGGCCAAACTGCTTGATGTTATGGAACTAGCAGAAAAGTTCTGGTGTGATCACATGGCTCTTGTAGTCACTATTAAAGATACTCAGGATTTTATCAGGGAACTAGAAGGTCCTGGGATTGACCCATCTGTGGTAAAACAGCAACAAGAATCAGCAGAGGTACGTGGAAAGCAAATGTTAATGTTCTTAAGCATGGATTTAGGAATGAGGTCCATTTAAATCAGTGAGACTTTCTTCCTAGTCATTAATGCTTTCATTTGTCCTTTTTTCATATTTCAGATTTTTCTACAAACCTGGGTGGTTTTTTCAGGTGTGTAGAAAGATTTATCTCGTCTGTTGATGGTTCCAGTCTCCAAATTTAAGTATCCACAGATTTGGCCATGTTGAAAATTAGATGTGTTGATAGTACATCAAGAACTATAGGAAGAAGCTCCTGTGAATTGTTATCATGGCTTAAGTCATGCATGCATATTCACTACTCAGTCTGTTATTACTCTTAGTCTCAGCTGAGAATGTGAACTGCCTCAACTGAAAAAAGTTATTCTTGCGCACATGCATGACGTAATTTAATGTATCAAATATTGAAAGGTGAAAATCCATGTCTAAGTTTCCCTTTCAAGATAGTCCTTTAATACCCATGTCCATTTTACCTTATGTGTGTGTGCTGAGGTCTTTGGGTGTGTATTTCTAAAATATCAGTTGACTCTTCATGCCACCTGTTAAAGTTGGTTGTCTCTAGACTGCACTACTTTAATTTGGTAACCCTTTAGGGGCATAGGCTACTAGATTAAAAGGAATCTAGAAGAACCAATATAGAGTATCATACTATGATCTAGGAGACTTGGGTTCAAATCCCCACTCTGCTATAAAGTTCACTGGATGACCTTGAGTCATTCATTAACTTAGTCTACCCTACCGCCGATTGTGAGGGTGAAATGGGGAAGGAAGAACCATATATGCTATCTTGAACTTCTTAGAGATAAGGTGGTAGGTAGATAGTTAAACTATTCACTGGTGTTCATAGCATTTTTTTCCTATCTAGGCTGTGTTCAGAAATCATGGCAAGCAGTGTGTGTTGGCCATGAATACAGACTGTTGCCATAATCATGCTTTTGCTTCCCTCCTCCCCCCATCCTTTATCTCCTTCTCCTCCCACCTTCCTTTATCCCTCTCTCTTTTTGCACGGAGCATGATTGAATCCTGGTTTCTGGACAAGGGGGGAGAAATTATTGCAGCATGATAACGAAGTTGTATTCATGACTAACGTCTGTTTTCTGTGACATCGGAATGTTCCTGTTAATAAGTGGTTACATAGAGCTTCCCAGTACTTTTTGAGATAGAGGAATTCTCAAACTACACCATAGGAACGAGGTGAATAGCATCTGCTCTGCTAGTACTTAGGTTTAGGCCAGAAGAAGCTTTATGTCTCGTCTTCATCCATCTATAGAACTAGGTGTCATGTGGTCAGAGCTTCACACTGAGTTGGTTAAGTAATCCTAGAAAATAACGAATCTTTTTCATTGTAACTTACTCTGGGTTGGCAATCCTGCCTATTTAATGTAATAACACTGGAAGCTTAACTTTTTGTGTTTTTTCTTTTAGAGTATCAAAGAAGAGATAGATGGGTTACAAGAAGAACTAGATACAGTTGTCAGCCTTGGCTCTGAACTCATAGCTGCCTGTGGAGAACCTGACAAACCTTTAGTCAACAAGAGCATAGATGAGGTAAGCGTCATATAAATATTTGGCTTTTTTTTTTAAGTGGTTCAGACAAAAAAAAAAGCAGTATATGGTACATAAGGCCAAGATTTGGCATGAAATCAAGGCTCTCTTTGGAGTCAAGAGCAAAGGTCACACAGATTTGATTCTGTAACTTCTCACATAATTTCCAGACTTGAAAGAAAACTATCAAGCATACACATCAGCCCCTTGCTCTGATACGTGGAATCATCCAGTATCCAATGCTACACCATAAACTTACCTCTCTTACATTTTAACCCAGGCAGTGTGTGCATGGGGGAGATTTCTTATAGCAAACTGATAAGGAATAATTTAGGAAGCGAGACCGCAAGTCGTAAATGAACTAAGCTTGAGTGCTTTAGAGCAAAGAAAAGAACTTTGACAAAATAAAACTTGATCTTTGAACTCTCCCTAATCTGAATATATTAATCATCTAGATTCTGAAAACTAAGCAAAGCATAGCTGTTAAGGACCATATTCTGACAATATTTATTCCTTGGAACCAGTACATGCAGTGAGATCAAGAGTGAATTTAGGGGTTGTGCGCATTCACCAGTCTTTCTGCATCCTGTAAAATGCACTGGGAAATTGACTAAATGTAATACCTCTTGGTTCAGCGTTACTGTTGATGTAAAATGAGGGAAAGAAGCTGTACAAGCCCAAGACCTGTTCCTCATCTTACTGCTCATACATGTTCTGAAAGTGACTTTTGGCTGAAGAGGCATGAACATGCCATCCTAAGCAGAGTAACATCTTTCTAAGCACATCAACTTCAGTGGACTTAGAAGGATATAGCTGCTTACAAAGGCATTGTAAATCACCTGAACAGAAAATTTCCCCTGGCATGTCTGTCCTGCCAGCCTCTCCTCTCTAATTTTGACAGACTTCAGTGCCCCATAGAACAGATATGGCTACCTACTCTGGATAACCCAGGATAGCCCATCAGATCATGGAAGCTAAGCAGGATAGGCTTTGGGCAGTATTTGGAAGGGAGTCCACCAAGGAATACCAGGGTCAAGATGCAGAGGCAAGCAATGGCAAACCACCTCTGAAAGTCTCTTCCCTTGAAAACCCCATGCGGTTGCCATAGGTCAGCTGTGACGTGGCAGCAAGAAAACCAAACAATCAATTACTCCTGCTAGCAGTAGCTTTGCATTCTCCAGCAGGGATCTTTACTAGCTGGGGGTAATAAGGAATGAATCTGGCTGAAAGTAGAAGAGATTTCACCTGGCAGCTTCTGCATATATGTATCATGACGCTAAGGGCGGGGGTGTGGCGACGCCAAGAAAGATGGCAGTCACTTAAACCTTGAGTTCTGTCTCCTGCCCTCTTCCCGCCTAACCTACATACCTATCAAACGACTCTTAGTCTTCAAGATATGGGCAGAAATCACAGGAGTCCTTCTACCAGCGTTAAAGCGTCTCTCAGGTCACCCCAAACCCTCTCTTCAATGAAAGACAGCAAAGCAGACTACAAGAGGTCCGACACAAGCGCCGTGAAAATGGCAGGAAACCAGAACCCACCTCAGCAGCAAGAAATAGACAGACTAATGCTTGACTTAATGACCTTGCTGAAGAATATGGAATGCAGGATCACAGATCAACTCCATATTACAATTCAGCCGGTGAGAGAACAACTTGAAAGTATACAATCTTCCCTAAACAAGACCTCACAGACAGCGGAATCAGCTCTCAAACTAGGACTCTTACTAAAAGAAGATGTACGGGAGCTGTATGTGGGGGAATCATCTTTCAAGGACAGGCTTCTTGTTCTGGAATCCCAGGCCAGACAAATGAATTTAAAATTACAAGGACTTCTGGAGGGAGAGGAGGAAGGTAAAGATTTCACTGACTTTATTTCTACATGGCTCACCTCTATTATTAATCAGCATCTGGGGAAGACGCTGGCCATTTTACGAGCCTACTGGCTCGGCATGCCAAACAACCCAAGGAGGACAGGCCCCAGGGACATCATGATGCAATTCACAGATTGGAGGGCCAAAAAAACGAACCTAGATGAGGCCAGATCGCGGAGACATATACTTTTCAATAAGCTACAGATTGCGGTATTCCCAGAGGTCCCCAAGGAAGCGCTTAACATAAGGTGTCTATTAAAACCAATTTTGACCCGCCTGCAAGCTGCCAATGTCCGCTACAAATGTCTTGAGACAGGAAAGATGCAGGTCTCCCATAAGGGCACTCAATATTTGATCTCAGACGAAGAAACAGGAATGGGTCTTTTAGAATCCCTCAGACTCTTGGATGGGTCAGAAAGCACACACCGCTCATACAAAAGAAAGACCCGTTAGCCAACACCGCCCAACATACAAAAAAAAGTACCGTCGTGCCATGATGGGTCGCCTATGTACGCAGATGAATTTGCTGCATGACACATGACAAGCTTGGTCATTCATCACTGAAAGACATCCTCTAGGCTCCTCAAGTAACTCAACACTGCTGTGCTAAATCATTCACCGAGGTTACATGTATTATTGCTAAAGCCCATAATTTCATTGTTTAAATAATCTAGTCATTAAGAGTTGTGTTGAATCAAGTTGGTGGGAGGGGGCAGGAGTGGGGAGTTGGGTACGTTTTGCCCCAAGGTTAACAAAGACCGCTTGTGGAAGCTTACCTACTTAGTCAGGAAAGCTCTCAATTTCTACTTTAGCTTTAAGTTTTACACTACCGAAGCAGGTCCAGTTCAAGCTTGCATTTTTATAAGGTTGACTTACTATTTATATCTTAAAGGAAAACATACCCAAATACAGAGGTTACTCATTAATACGTTTATTATTGTTTAAAAGAATCTAACATAATTTCTGAACCACTTTACAGTGCATTTCACAAAAAGTTGCCTTACCTAAGAAAATCCACAAAAGGGTGTGTTTTTTTTGCAATTTTCAATTAGATAAATAATCTTTTTGAGAACAAGAGTTCTTATATATCTTTCTGACTTTAATCTAAAACTACACCAATTGATATTTTAATATAGTATTACTGCCTACTTACACCTTTTGCACACCACTAGGAGCACGCTGAAAAGAAGAGGATAACTGGTATTCACCTGTTTTTCCCCTCCATTTACAGAGAACTTCGCAGCATTGTTTTGTGCAAATATGCAACACGTCTTAACATATTAAATTTTCTGTATTGAGTGCTATTTGGTACATTAATATTGTTCTTTGCCTTTTAAACCTGGTTAATTGACTGTTTTTTATTGTTGTGATTAACATGGTAGCTGACAAATCAATTAAGTTCATTAATCAACTGCTTCTGATTGTTGTGATTAATTTAAGAATTGACAATTTAATTAATCTTATTAATCAGTTTTGAGCTTAATTGTTACATATCAATTTAGGAAGAGGAGGAGCATAGGGAGCAATTTTGGTGTCTATTTGGAGTTAAAGTTCCTTAATCCACAGATAATTAGGCAAAATATTCAATTAGGAGTTGCCTGTTTGAACCCATACTGATCATGGAAAATTTAAAAATAAGTTCAGTCAACATAAGAGGTCTTGGCAATTTAATCAAAAAGAAACGAGTGCTGCAATATGTGAAATCACTTCACGCGTCTATCTTATTTATTCAAGAAACACACGTGAGATCCAACGCTGTTCCAATACTGAAGACTCGGTTATTTCCCATACAGCTTCAAGCCCTGGGATCATCCAAGTCCTGTGGGGTTGCAATCCTGCTTTCAAGGAATATCAATTTTGTTTTGAAAGATACAAAAGTGGACCCCGAGGGCAGATTTTTATTTGCAAAGGGGACGATAGATGGTCACATGATCACTTTGGCAATGATGTACGCACCAAATAAAAATGAACTTACCTTCTTACAAAAAACTTTTACCTTTCTAAACCTTTTTGAAGAGGGTGACTTAATCGTTGGTGGGGACCTGAATCTTGCTGCAGATAACAAAATGGACAGATCAAACTCATCATCAAGACACTTGAGCTCAGCCCATTTGGCTAACCAACTCTCAAATTGTTTCAAAATTTTCATTTATGTGATACTTGGTGGGTACTCCATCTCACAGAGAAGGACTATTCATTCTTCTCAGCAGAACACTAAAGATAGACTACCTGCTAATCTCGAGAACACTTCTTCCACAGCTGAGTTCTGCAAACATTGGCACACATCATCTCACAGATCATGCATAGATAGAGTGTACTTTCCGAAAAAACCCAGAAACTTGACACGAGTCTTTTATTAAAGGAAACAACAACACAAAATAAATTAGAAAAGGAGATCAACACTTTTTTGCGGAGAATCCTGTCTCAGACATGACACCAGCCAACACCTGGGACACAATGAAGGCGGTGATCTGAGGCTCAATTAAAACTTGACACGAGTCTTTTATTAAAGGAAGCAACACGAAATAAATTAGAAAAGGTGATCGACACTTTTTTGTGGAGAATCCTGTCTCAGACATGACACAAGCCAACACCTGGGACACAATGAAGGTGGTGATCCGAGGCTCAATTTTCTCATTGACATCACATCTGAAAAAAGAAAGAAAGTTAAACTAGAAACATCTCAACGAATAGCTGCACTACAAAAAGAGCACAAACACACAGGAAACAAGAAAAGATGCCAAATTAACATCTGAACGTAAGATTTTGGAATCTATGGAGACGACACAAATCCAACGAAACCTTTGTATATAAAACAACGCTACTGGCAAAAATTGCCGAAAAACATCAGTCTCTTGTCTTGGAGGGTGACAGAGAGAAAGAGATAACTGGTAGTGGGCTCTCTTAAGCATCACTCCGGTAAGGTTCTCACTGCACCTAAAGACATCACTCAAGCTTTTGCGACATTCTATGAACAACTATATCACTTTAATCATCTTGACACAAGGAATATTTCGACCTACCTTGAATTCATTAGCCTTTTCGAAGTAATCTGATACCATCTCTTCTCCAGGTCTGCAATAAAGTACTCAGTGACGGTCAAGTGACCGAATCCTGGCTGTTACCTTCCATCATTTTGTCCATCCCAAGGACAAAAAGGATCCAACAAACCCGGCCTCATACCATCCAATCACATAGATTAACAGTGACGCAAAAATCTTTAACACAGTACTGGCAAATCGCATGAAGACAATAATACCGGAATATGTATATCCAGACCAGACAGGCTTTATCCCTGCTAGACAGCTAACTGATAACATCCGACATACACTGAACATCATCACAGCTGGGGGGGAAAGTCTCTCCAACACATTAATTCTTGCATTAGATTTTGAGAAGGCCTTCGACTCTATAGAACCAGCATTCATGACAGCACCTTTCCAAAGACTAGGTTTCGGACCCAGATTCCTGACAGTGCTACGCCTTCTAGAATTAGAGTTAACGGGCACAACTCTCGTCCCACAAGGCTCCCTGCTTTCCTTCTGATTTTTGCGATGGCAATTGAACCACTGACAGAGGAACTCTGTAAGGCGACAGACTTCTCAGGTCTAAAAATCAATGGCACAGAACACAAAGTGAAAGTGTACACAGATGATCGTCTCCAATCCACAAAAATCTTTACCGATCATCTGTCAAATCTTAGATAGTTTCGAGAAAATCTCTGGTCTCCGTGTCAACACACAAAAATCAGAAATATATCCCATTTCCATATCTCCAGACGTGAAAGCCGCTTCGACACAACAGTTCCACTTTTTATGGGTGCAATCTTCATGGAGGTATCTCGGAGTACAAATACCGCTTGACCCCAAGAATTTACAGTCCTGTAATTTTCATAAGCTGTACAAAGACACCCTACAATGACTATAAGAATGGAACGCTCTCACATTCACGTTAATTCAGAGTTTTATTTTCCCAAGCTTTCTGTTCCTTTTCAGGGCACTTCCCATCAAGATTCCGAATGCTGACCTTAAATTGGGCAAGACATGTTAACATCATTCATATGGGCATTCAAGAAGTCCAGACTTGACTGGCGTATCTTATCCCGACTTGCACTCAAAGGTGGTCTTAACCTGCCAAATATAAGGTGTTATTATCAAGCAACGACCATCTCCAACGTTCTGCAAATGATGCAAAGCACATCGTTGACCAATTGGATGGCTATAGAACAAGATTTTGTTGCCCCACTCACTTTACAAGAAGCCTTCTGGAGCCCCAAACTGCAACGACCCAAGCAAGTTTCTGACAATCCTTATTTGACACATACACTACAGATCTGGGACAGACAGAGACAACAACTGACATCATCTATCTCACCACTTTCAACTTATACTTACCAAGATTGGTTCCCCCCAGGTCAGGAACCAGGTGCTTTTCAAGACTGGATGAGGGCAGGCTTCAACTGTCTTCAAGACCTAGTCAAAGAAGGAAAACTATTAGAAAAGGCACACTTTGAAGAACAAATCGGCAAAGCAATCTCCTGGCTCCGTTATTACCAACTAATGAGTGTCATAGAACACATATCGAATAAAGATGTCTTCAAGAGACCCAAGTAACAATTTGAAGTACTTCTAGTAACTTATTTAGAACACTCAAAGCATCTGCTCTGAAAATTGTATAAAATTCTTATAGATTCCTACAGCACACCGAAGATGGCATATCAAGCTGTGTGGCAACAAGACCTTGGGATCAATTTGTTGGACCATGAATGGGTATTGATTTGGTTCATGGGGGCAAATAGATATAGAGTTCATAAAATTAGGTTTCAATTTTTCAAATTAATCTCCCATTGGTATTATACCCCAAGTCGTCTAAACCACATGAAGAACACATACTCACCGCTGTGCTGGAAGAACTGCAGAGCAGTGGGAGATTATCTGCATTGCTGGTGGAACTGTCCCCATGTACAGCATTTCTAGGAGATTGTAGTTGCTGAAATATCCAAAATGACATCACAAACACTCCCAATGACACCAGAAACCCTTCTCCTACATCTCAGAGATCCAGCAAAAGGTGAAGACTCTCTTATACACCTAACGACATACTTACTGGCAGCAGTAAAAGTTACCATAATCAGCCACTTGGAAATTGACTAAACCCCCAGTGGTGGAGGAGTGGAGAAATAAAGTGTGGGAGCAATTTATTATGGACAAAATCAATGACACTTTGATCACATCTCAATCATAATCTTGTACGACACACTCCAAATTAGTGCACACCTGGTTTCCATTCCTTCAGTACATGACAGAAAAAGACCTACTGCCACAAAACCCGAGTTTTGCATCTTGGCTTCACTTCTGATTAAATAAAACACCTAACATATAGACAACATGATATCCTAACTGAACTTATTATCCTTACCAGTAGACGGTACTTCCAGGCAACTCATAAGTGGTGAATTTTACAGAGCTCCTCTTAATTAATTATACAGATTAATTATACAGTTTAGCAAATTACCCTTAAAGCATTCTCCGTTTGTTCCTGGCTTTTTGCTGTACTACGGCCCCGGTAACACCGGCCGGGAAGCGGCCTCTCTAGCAAAAGGCTCCATGGGTTTAACCCCTTCCAGGGCTGCAGAGGAATGCAAACTGTGTCCTCTGTCCCGTCCCCTCCAGGAGGAGCTTCAGCCGGGCCGCCCTCCCGCCACATCCCCCCTGCACCTCCCCCTCTGCCGCCCGGTGCAGAGAGTTCCTCTTGAGCAGGCTGAGCCAGGAGTGGGGGGGGTACGGAAAAGAGGAGGGGGCTGTGTTGTTTGTTTTTAACGAAGTGTGTGCATGCGCCATTGGGTGCTTGTGTGCATCCCGTGGAGACTTTAAAAAAAACCTTTTAGCGACAGTACATGGGCGGGCGCCAGATGCCACGACCTATCACCGGAAACGCGATCAGACGCCCGCCCTTGCCCCGTGGTTTCTGGAAACTAGTACCTCAGAGGTACTAGTTTTTTAAGCCGCATCTTTGGCAGGAAGCCTCGGGTGAGCCACGGGAGCTCTACGCTTCCCAGATGTTGCGGTGTGATCGCGCCCGGAAAATCTGCCTATCTTCCGTCTCTGTAGCATGGCTAATGCTCCATGTGACCGCAGCCTACATGTGTAATCCCTCTCAATTTCACTGTTCTGCTTATTTGTAAATTCATACTGTTACAGAGTTTGTATGTTAACAACAAAATCTAAATAAAAGGTTAAAAAAAATGAAGCTAAGGGCCTCTAAAATTAAGTCAGGTAAGTCAGGTAAGTAAAGCACCAAAACCAGGAGTGGATGGGATGTCAATCCTAACTGAAAGTCATCTACCTACCTCGTTACATTTATCCAGTGATATTTAGCAAGTAGCTAGATTTTTTTTAACCTGTGATGGTTTAGCAAGACCCTTGTACCCTTTTTCTATAGCCAATAGTTATAGAAATTTTTGATTTACATTTTAGATTAAGCAATATTTCTTGGCATAAGTTTCCTTTTTTATTCAATTTGATCTCCATTTAAAATACAGTTAAATTCTGCTTGGGATGCTTTGAATAAAACATGGAAGGAGCGTGTTGACAAACTTGAAGAAGCCATGCAGGCTGCCGTTCAGTATCAAGATAGATTGCAGGTAAGACTATTTTAATAGGGGGGAAATTTTACAAGTATTTTCTACTTTTTTTTTAAGACAAAGATTTTTCATTGATCAGGATGTGGGTCATTGGCTGTGTTGACAGTAACCATATTGGCTCCCTATTTCCTTGCAAGGAAAATCTTGGTTTGAGCCTATCAAAGTGCCAATGGCTATATATTGTAGATTCCTGACTTCTGACATCAGCTAGGAAACACCCTATTTGGTGACATTCGTGTGTCAGGTACAGAAGGTACTTGCAGAATTCAAACATTTGTCTCAGTGCATAATAGGACGTCTTGTATGTGTGGATTTTTGATGGAATTAGGCATTTTAATCTGATATTACTTCTAGCATGTATTTTATTCTGTTGCTGTTATTTGTGTTGATAAAGTAGCATTCTCCACTGGGGGGGGGGACTTCCTGATGCTGCAAATTCAAATACAGTTAATAGATAGATGAAGGCATGATTCAGCCTAGGGTTTCCAGGTCCAATTTTGTCCCCAGCGGGGAACTTTGGGAGGCATTCCCAGAGGGGGTGGGGTGTCCCCATTGTGATGACATCACGTTGGGGACATCCTGCTCCAAGCCCTACCCCAAGAACAATTGCAGGCAGCCACCCCTCTCCCTAAACTCCTGCAAGATTTAAAGGGCCCACCGATCAGGTGGAGGCCAGTCCCCGCCAGCTGAAAGTGCTTAAAGGGACCCTTTAACTGCTTCCAGGCAAGAGGACCCCACACGCCCAATCGCCAAGTGGTATTGCTGCTTGGAGACCAGGCGTGCAGAGTTAGTCCCCGCCAGCTGAAAGCACTTAAAGGGACCCTGTAAGCACTTCCAGCCAGTGGGGCCCCACGCACCCACAGCTGGAGGGCCCTTTAAATCTCTCAAGAGAGAAGGGAGGGGTGGCTGCAGGTGTTTGGGCTTGGGGGCAGGGCTTCCCCCACCAGCCAGCTGGTCAGCTGGTGGGTTGAAGCCCCCAAAAACGGGTAAACCCTTGCCCAGTCCAGGGGTCCAGCAGCCCTAATTCAATCAAATGTAAATACTTTAACTTTGACTGGATTGTGATTTAAATTATTCTTCCTACTGTCATTACCGTAATAGAAGGACAAAGTAGCTGATGTCTTATGTGCAGTTCAGCCCAGGCTAAGCACTTTTAAGTTCCATTGACTTCACCAGAAAAGAAATAAGCCAAATGAATCTCTTAGAAAAATAAAGTTCTTTACATATTGTTGCCATCAGTTAAATATTGTATTTTGTTGCTAACATTAAAGAGCTGTTTTGACTTATGACCATAAGTAAGGTCATCTGTCAATGGTCATAGATGAGGAGCTAAATTGAAATGTGTCCCTGTGATTATAGTTATTTCTTAAGACAAAATGTTAGATGATGATGAGGGATGAATGGACTGACTGACAGACCTATTCATAGTGATGTCCTATGTGTTATGCTCCAGTGTGCTTTAATTTTGTGCAGTGCCATGTTGGTTGACATGAACTTTGTCTCCAGTAGAAGTATTTTATAGCTGCTTCTTTATCATCTATTCATATGTTAAAATTATCGTTCTAGTACACTGGTTGAGTAATGGGGTCACTCTATTTAGCAGTACATTTTTCAAGCAAGGTTTTTAAAAAGATAAGTCATTAAATGAAGCAAAAACTTGAAATGTTAAAATACATTTATCTAAATTTCCAAACCTAGTATCGTCCTCTCCTCCATTATGAAGTACTATATGTCCAGTTTTTAAAAAACACATTACTTAGAGAATTATTAACATTCCTAGATTTAATTTTTGTTTCAATAATATCTTGGCTATTCTGTTCAACAGATTTTTAAGCTCAGTTTTTATTGTAGCTTTAATTATCATAAAATAATTCCACCTATCACAGCACACCAAATCAAAGAAAACAATTTTGTGGTTGCACTTTATCCTTATACTAGCCTGACACCCGTGCTTCGCTACAGTATTTAACTTCCATAAATCCAGTTATAATACTGATGGTGTAAAGTTTGAAATGTAACATTTGTTGTAGGAATTCTAATGGAGAAGATTGTAGTGTAAATAATGAAGTGAGACATATGTACTTTTTCTCTCTCTACTGAAGGACCTCTCTGTAGACTGCTGGGGTGGGCTCCCTCATGACTTTAAGCACCCTGCAACCACTGCTGCACCTGACAAACAACCCGCCTTTTAGGTGTAGGAGGTGGGGGGAGGGTGTTGGAAGCCGTCAGAGAGGCTGGGCCAGCAGGATTGCTAAGGTGATCCTGCTAGGGCAGCTTCCCTGATGGATTAAAGTACCCTACACCGGACAGACATCCGCCTGTCTGGTATTGTGGGGGATCATTTTTAAAGGCATCAGGGAGGCTGGGCCAGCAGCAGGGCTAAGGCAATTTTGCTGAGCAAACCTCCCCGGTGCCTATAAGCATCCCACCTCCTCTCCTACACCTGACAGGCAGCTGTCTGTCCAGTGTAGGAGAGGGAAGAGGGAGGAACATAAAAACATAAGAGACGCCAATGTTGGATCAGGCCAAAGGCCCATCCAGTCCAACACTCTCTCACACAGTGGCCAGAAATACCAGGTGCCATCAAGAGGTCCACCAGTGGAGTATTAGAAGCTGCTGTGGAGGTGGGGCTGGCAGGATCACTAAGGCATTACTGCTGAGGCAGAACTCCCTTGTGGCTTTAAGCACCCTGCAACTGCTGCTGCATCTGACAGACAACTGCCTGTCAGGTGTAGGAGGGGGGAGCATGTTTGAAGCCATAGGGAGGCTGGGCCAGCAGCTTTGCTTCACCTCACAGGCAGTTGGCCACTCCTGATTTCCTCAACTGTCATTAGCTCTCTGTAGTCCCCTGTAACTGTTTTGTTTTACCTCAGAACACTGAGCTCTGCAGCTGACCAATCAGAGTGTGGGGGTGCAAGGAGGCAGCAGCCTAGCAGCCACATAGGAATCAATGGGGGGAAGCACATTTTCCTCCTTTTGACCCACTTAGGGGTCGAATTTCTAAAAATCCCTTCTTAGTGAGCATCTATGTCACGGTAGGAGTGCTCTCCCTGAATTTCGTGTTTCTAGGTCCAGCGGTTTGGCCTGAGCGTTGATTTTATGGTGAGACGACTTTCTTTTATATATATAGATTTCTTGTTCCAGAAATTTATAAATGAAAACTGTCTGTCCATAAATCTATCTAAATACTGTTTTTTCTGATGGACGTCTAATAGGTCAGTTTAATAAGCTGCATTCCAGATTTTTCCAACTCATCATTCAATGGTAATTGACCCTCATATTTCCATTTTTGTGCTGACATATGACATAATATCCATTCATTATGCAATAGCAGTGCAATTACATCCTTGAAACGTCTCAACAGTGGAACAATGAACATCTTTTTCCAAAGTTGAACAATTTTAGGGAAGGACCAAATATGAAAGAGATCTACTTCCAGTTTATAACATGTGCGTGTTCGCCCTCTCTCAACCTGCACTTTCTACCTGACACCATATATAGGGTCTTGGCAGAAGGGCCCACAGGGCCTCAAATCAGAGAAGGGAGGGGGTTGTGCCACCTGATTCCTTCTCTACTCTGTTTCGGGGTCAGAGCTGGGACACGACCATTCTCCATGGTCTGCCTCCAGCCCTCCCTAAATCGTCCTTCTTGCGCTGGCTCCTCACCACCCCTCCCTCCACCAGGAAGTTCAAGAAAGTGGCTAAGCCACTTCCTGGAGCATGAGCCTCCTGGCCCACCTCTTCTTTGGTATAAGGTTTCCAGCCTGGGAAATTCCTGAAGACTTGGAAGTGGAGCCTGTGGAAAGGGGAATATGAGGAGGCATTTCACCTAGAATCTGTGGTATATCATAGTGTTTGCCATCTGAAGCTGCCGTTTTCTCCAGAGGAACTGATCACTGTAGTCTGGAGATCAGCACAATTCCAGAACTTGGGCCCCACCTGGAGGTTGGCAACCCTGCTCTAATGGGGTGTTGTTTTGGTGGCCTGTCAGTCAAACTTCTGCTGCCACCAAGCTGCTAGATCCTCCTGGGCAATCCATCCATCACAACATGGCCCTGTCCCTTTCAAGTCCACCCCAGCTCAGCTGCTGTGGCTGCCAGTGGTATCTGGCTTGCTTCAACCAAAGCAGGCCATGTTGGAGTTGCAGGAGCTGGTGCTCGTGAGGTCAGGCTGCCTAAGTTAGTCCTGTTGGGGCTTCAATCCCAGGGGCATTTGATTATAATGTTTATCCATATAATGATGACACCCTGATTATGTCCGTCTGATTGCATTTATTTAGTCTTTTTTTAGTCCCACTTTGCTCCCCAAGGTGACCCAAAGCAGCTTACAAAAATACTAAAGTACAGTTTAAATAAACAAATAGTGTACATGAACAAGGTACAGTTTAAATAAATAAATAAGCTGGGGGAAAAACAAAGAATGTACTAAATCGCATCCTGGACTGGACCTGGATCTACTGTGCTGACTCACTCAAGGCCACAGACTGTGAGCCACGGGCTGGGAGCTCAAGGCCAAAACCACACAACAAAAGGCTTGCATCTCTAGCCAAGCCCGCACTTTGATTTAATCAAGTTATTGGTGAAAGTTAGGTTGCCGTATTATTGCATAACTTACCAGTCTTGGTAAAAACAAAATATATTGAAGTTTCCAGTTAATACATGAAAACTTCTGTTTCCACTCCCACATTTGGCAAGGTTAGATTGTTGAGAGGAAGCAACGCTATGTATGGTGATATTGTCCCTTTCTTTCTTTCCTCTTTCAGTAGTCATCCAAGCAATTGTAGACCTTGCTTTGAAAGCTTTATTTGACTAAAGGATCCCAGTTATACATTGATGCCTCTTCCCAGCATTCATTTCTTGAAACTATCCCCTAATTGGAAAGCAATCACTCCCATAGTCTTTGTTTAGCACTATCTCCAATATGCACTGGTTAGCTTGTAAATTTGATTTATTCAGAAAAAGTAGAGTCCCCCCCCCCGAAGACTAATTATGAAAGCTCTTCATTTAGGGTAGAAAAAAGTGCTCTTGGCTGTGGCTATGCGCTAGTGTAAAGGTAAAGGTTTTCCTTGCTAGTATAGTAGTTCTACAAACATGAAATTGAGCAAACTTCAGAGGACAGTGGAAAACAGGAGGGCCTGGCGAGATCTTGTCCATGGGGTCGCGAAGAGTCGGACTTGACTGTGCGACTGAACAACAACAAATAGTAGTTCTTAAATAAAATACCTGCAGCTGAGTTGGAGCTGAAGTGTGAGTCAGCTCTTCAGGCCTACTAATGCATAATCTATGATTGTTCACACATCATTAGTAAGTGAAGTGGCCTTTGCTGTCTACTTTCTTGAATGTCCTGAACGTCCATTTTCCTCTCGTCCTGTGAACCCTGTGTGGATTTATCACCACATGGGTTGGGGTGTGCTAAGACTGTGCTAAGGAGGGAAAAGGAAGGAATAATGCCCTATCTCCTGTCAGCATGACTCTACTGAGAGAAGAGGTGGGAAGGGCAATTGCATCCTGTTTCCCTCCACACTTCAGCACTGCCCCCCCCAAAGACCTGCTTCATTATTTCTGTGACCTTGGAAATCAACTTTCCCATGGTTGGAAAAGACTGCTGCAGGGGTGGGGTGGGGTGGAAAATGTCCTCATCCCTCAACACTTTATACTGAGAGATCACTGGATCCAACCCATTGTTCATTTCCCCCCCTCTGTTCTCATGTATGTTTCTGCCAACTGATGGAACAGTTCATACAGGTGATAAAGTAGGCTTGGTTCCATGAACCCTTTTAGGTTTTTAAGGTGCCAGAAAGTTTTGCTTTGCTGACTCATATGGTGTTGGTTTGTTTAGAATAGAAAGTAGTTGCCCAAACACCGTCAGAATATGTAAACGTAGGGGAGAAACCCAATGTAAACTTCTCGATACATTGAAATCTAATTAAATATCCCTGCAGTGCAGTGCTAAGCAGACTTATACCCTTCTGTCCATTGGAATCAATGTGACACATTCCCAGTTTTATTAAAATTGTATTGTATCAAGCATCATACCAGTACTTTGCTGAAGTGTTATTTTCCCTACTATTAAACCAAATTATTTTTATTTATTTATTTATTATTTCAACTTTTCCCCCGCCCTCCCCGCCAAGGCAGGCTGAGGGTGGCTTACATAAAACCTAGTAAAAAAAAATATGCATCACAATTTAAAATACACAATAAAATACACAATAAACAATTTAATACGTCAATGGTGATCCAAATGTAGTAAAGTGCATTTAGGACACGTTCAGCAGTGCATCCCCTCCAGGAAGCTTCGGCTGGAAAGCGGTGAGTGCAGGGCATAGCTGCTCCTATCGGAATGCCTGCCAGAAAAGCTCCGTTTTCACGACCCTCCGGAACTTTCCAAAGTCCCGCAGGGCCCTGATCTTGCCAGGGAGCTCGTTCCAATAAGTCAGACCTGCCAAAGAGAACGCCCTGGTCCTGGTCAATGTCAATCTGGTGTCCTTAGGTCAAGGGAGGGCCAAACGGTTTTGTGACCCTGATAGCAGTGCTCTCTGGGGAACATGTGGGGAAAGGCAGTCCCTCAGATAGGCAGGTCCCTGACCCTAAAGGTCTTTAAAGGTCAAAACCAGCACCTTGAAACAAATCCGGTATACTATTGGCAGCCAGTGCAGTGCCTTTAGCATAGGCTGGATGTGCTCCCACATAGGGAGGCCCATCAACAGCCTGGCCGCCGCATTTTGCACCAGCTGCAGCTTTCAGAGTTGCACCAAGGGCAGCCCCATGTAGAGAACATTGCAGTAGTCTAACTTCGAGGTGACCATAGCATGGATCACTGATGCCAGATCATTGCGTTTGAGGAAGGGAACCAACTGCCTAATCAGCTGAAGATGGTAAAAGGCTGCCTTGGCTTCTACCTGGGCCTCCATTGTTAGGGACGCATCCAGGAGCACTCCCAAACTCCTGACCCTCGGCGCTGGCACCAATGGCACCCCGTCGAAGGCCGGTAGTGGGATCCCTACCCCCAGACTGCTCCGATTCAGGCACAGGACCTCCGTCTTCGTCGGATTCAATTTCAATCTAATTATGTTATTTTAATTAAATATTTTATTTTACAGGCTTTATTTGACTGGGTGGATATTGCTGGCAGTAAATTATCTTCAATGTCACCAGTTGGAACTGACCTAGAAACTGTGAAACAGCAAACAGAAGAACTGAAGGTATGAAATATTAACCTTTTTGTTTTTTTAATCTTTCTATGAGGGTTGGCACTTTGCACTTGCTCTGCAACAAAAAGTAAGTCATTTTCAGATGAGCATCCCATTTTAAAATAGCCCTTTTAAGTTAGAAAATAATGACATCAGTTTTCCCTTTTACAAAAAAATATAATACAAGCTCCATTTTTCCCACTGCATCAATTACTTTTATGACACTTAACTTCCCTTTCAGAATGTGTGCAAGTTCCTGCCAAGTCCATCGTTCTTGATAACATGGATTATTCCTTAACATTCAACAATTGCTTCATTTCCACTAGAGTCTGCAAAGCTATGCAGCAAAAATCCCGAGCCAACATGAAAAGCAAATTTGGAATGGAAGTATGACTCATTCCGTTCATAATACCTGGATATGGCTGTGTGTTTTACACAGGAAGCAGAGATGGTATAAGGTATCCTGTTTTAGGGCACGAAATTAGACTAGATAACTCAATCTAAATCTATTCTTGTAAACAAAGAACACAGGAAGAGAAAATATAAAAATGAGTAGGAAGCCCTACAGAGGTTCAGAATTGAAACAGAAATGGGTGAACTCATTGGCTATGCAGGAGGAGATGTAATGAATTTTTAGTGTAGTGGTGGTTGGGTGCATTTTTATCTGGTCATTCCCAGATTCTCCTGAGGGTAAACAGAAATGTTTGTCCCTTTTCTGTAGGTCTCCAACAAGCTTCCAAGCCTGCAGGTGGATAGTTTGTTCTTTTTTTCCATGTACCCTTTCTAGATACTGTAGTATGAATGGGAATATAAAGATTTTCATATATAGGTTTTTTCCTTCTTGATTGTTCATATTCATATTTCTCTGGTTTTTATAGATTTATTCTTTAAGTAATATTTTATTAGGATGTTAGAAAGGCCTGTTATATAGAAGGCTTTCCTCTTGTAGGTCTGATATTGTTAGCAGACAACATAATAGGTACAAAGTTCATGATTCTGTAGTTCTTAGGGCAAACCTTTCAATGTCTGGGTCAGATACAATTTTAGTCTGATATGAAGAATCCTTGCCCATTATAATTTAGGTTAGGTTAAGTAAACACTTAGTTTGACGTAGATATGTTTCTTTATATCTGGCCAATCAGAGGATTATTACTCAAATTACCACTGTCTTTTGTAACCAATTATGCTGTTTGAATATTGTTTTCTTGATTATGTCAGTCCATGTATAAAATATCATGTATTTCCTGAATATGTTCAGAATATGCTCAAGAAGAAGATGAAGAAGAAAAAGAAGAAAGTTGTCAATTTTTGGTTAACTATTTGGTCTAATTGTTTTCCTATTAATTGAGGCATGTTTCCTGATTATGCTGAGAAGAAAGCAGTCAGTTTTGATGGGTCCTTTGGCCTAACTGTTTTCCATATTTCATTACAATACAATACAAGAACTTCCTCCTCATTTGACTTCATTTTTGACATGGAATCTAATATGTACAACAATACCACATCTTTTATTGGTCTGGGCCCAAATGCCAGCAAATTCAACAGTCTTCTGAAGACGTGCTTGGGGAGGGGCTGTGGCTTAGTGGAAGAGCCTCTGTTTGGCATGCAGAAGGTCCCAAGTTCAATCCCTAGCATCTCCATACATTATATCATCTACTAGCATTAGAAATTCCTGAAAGCAAATAAACTGTAACTAGTCTTTTTTTGGAACCAGCATCAATATCATAGTAAAAACAGGCCTGTTGGTATACCCCCTCCTTACATATACCTGTGTGCTAATTTGCCAAATTATGAAAGGACAGATGAGGGCATTGCAAGGCTTATGGGGGTATCCCACCCCCACAAACACAGTCCACCCACCTGCCTGACTTATGCAGCAGCAGATTCCATTCCATTCCATTCCCTCAAAATGGCAGCGAAGATCTTGTGATATAGCTTCGCAAATTTTAGTTTTTCTACCCATAATTAATATTTTTGTTTGGGGGGATTTTTGCGCAAATCTGGGTGTTGACCCAGGTTTGTACAAGCAACTTCCCTACTCTGTTTTTCTTAAATTTAATATTTATTGAAACATTTGAACAAATACCAACATCAACAATGTAAACAACAAATTGAGCCTAGAAGTGAGTACAACATATCCAAGACATTGGTTAACGTACAGTTCCACATTAATACCTTCAACCTTTCAAATCTCCAGTTTATGTTCTAAACACTTCAAACATGTGATCAAACTGAAAATAGCATGCAAGTTATTACCATTTGCAATTGGTTCTGTCTTCTGTATGAAACCCAAACAACCCCATGGACCAAAATTAGATCAAAAGCATATCCATGAAAGATAAGCAGAGTTCGATGGGAGCACATCCTTGTCTGTCATGTAGTGAAGTATACGAAACCAAATAGATTCAAAGCGGGAGGAAACAGGGGAGAAGTATTTGTTTGATAACTGAATGACATTCGTGGTTTTAGCTAAACTAAATTGGTCCCAGATTTTATTGTGCCAAATTTGTATAGTTGGAGGAGTTTTTCTACCCATAATTACTATTTTTGTTTGGGGGGGATTTTTGTACAAATCTGGGGGCTGACCCAGGTTTGTACAAGCACCTTCCCTACTCTGTTCATGATGCCAGTGTGCTGATTTAGGGATCCAAACACTGAGGACCTGGTTCAGAATTAAGTATAAGGTATTCAAGATAAGGAGCATACTAAGATCATGAGTTTTGTCCTATAATACATGAGTGCCCCTGGAAACTGCAGGTGCCTGTTCCTGTGGAACACCTTACACCAATCTATTGGTCATTTAGGTAACACATGACCCAATATGAGCTGAACCTTCAAGCATATCTATATGGTGGCCATTGGTTGTGTGTATCAGTATTATCTCAGTCACCAAATAATTACAGGGTAGGCAGGTGAAATCAGTCTCTGCTGATGGTCCTTTTTCCATGGTCCTTTTCTGTGGTGGCCCCTTTGTTGTGAAATAGCATTCCATAACATGTGATGAAGACTTCTACTTGGTCACAGTTTCAGAAGTTGCACATGGATGAACTTTTAAAGAGGATTTTTAATACATGTGGTTAGTTTTTAAGCTAACCATTTAGTTCATCTTTTATGCTGACTTTCATGATTCTATTTGTTTTTATTGATTTTCATTTTTGTAAGGTGCCTTAAATTTGTACGGAGAAAGGTGGGATAGAAACAATTTAAATAAAAAGCACTTAGAAAAAGCACACACACACACATGACTTTTACGGAGAGTGAACACCACTGCCACCAGAAGGTTCTTATTTTTCTACATTCAAAAAGTAAGCCAATTTGGATGCAAGAATGATTTATAACTGTAATTTCAATTCAGAAAAAAGCATTCCTCCCTTTATCAGAAGTCTGGAGAACAGCGTGACCTATTTGACTATACAGTAATTAGAGGACGATAGTCTGTGAAATATTCACCTTTGCTCCTCTGTTTCAACAGCAATTTAAGATAGAGGCTTATCAGCAACAGATAGAAATGGAACGACTGAACCATCAAGCAGAGCTGTTGTTGAAAAAAGTGACCGAAGACAGCGACAAGCACACTGTACAAGAGCCCCTATCTGAACTCAAGTTGTTATGGGAAACTTTGGAGAACAAAATTGTTAGCCGCCAGGTAAATGACAACTTCAATTAAACCATACCACAAGCTAAGAACTATACAAATAAGGAAAAATAATAATAGTACATAGCTTCTGGCTTGGTCATCTTCCAACAGGGAAAGACTTCCTTCAATAAAGACTCTTCTTCATCAGAGGTAGTCTTCCTTTGTCAGAAAAAAGCTATTCTTCATTGGAGAAGTCTTTTTTTTTTTGAGGGAAGACTTAGCAGAGCAACCTAACAGGAGTCATATGATCCAACAAATAGTATCTAAGGCATGAGAAGTAATAGTTCCATTTTGTTCTGTGCTAGTCAGGCCCCATCTGGACTACTGTGTTGAGTTCTAGGTGCCACATTTTTAGAAGGATGTAGACAAATTGAAACAGATTCAAAGGAGAGAAACAATGATGGTCAGCACTACAGAAAATAAGTCCTTAGAGGAGAGGTTGAATGAACTGGGTATGTTTATCTAGGACAAGAGGAGACTGAGGAGGAGACTGTATCGCTTGCTTCAAAAACCCAAAGAGCTGTCATGTTGCAAGGACTTGTTCTTTTGCTGCTCCAGAGAGCAAAGATCAGATCTAATGGGCTGAAGTTATAGAAGTGTATTGCAGTTGCACATTAGGGGAAAATTACTAATGGTAAGAGCAGTTAATCAATGGAATCAGTAGCCTATATAGTTGGTGGCCTGCCCCTTGCTAGAAGATGCAAGCAGAAGCTAGACAGCCATCTGTTTGTTTGGATTTCATTTACTGATCAGGGAGTTGGACTAGAAGGTCTGTAAAGCCCCTTATAACTCTGTGACTCTGTGAAAGGATAACTTGAAATGAAAGTGAGCAAATGTAATCCATGTTCTAAGTACCAAACTATATTTGACCATCTATGAACATTTCTGTTGTTTTAAAATGGAGAAGAGCAGCTGTGTAATCCTCCCACCACCACCGGTTCAGATCCAGCAGATTGTTCCCATGAGTGGAAATATTTCCTCACACAAAGGTTTTCCCTGTGTCCACGGTAGCTCCAAATGTCATCCCTGCCTCCTTGAAGAGGGGTGTGTGTGTGTGGTGGGAGGGTTATTGGGCTTCATGGAGAGAGGAGAAAGTTGCACTTGTTCATCAGGTAGAAATCCTTTTGCCCACAGAAATGCTCCACTGGATCATAGTCTGTTTTCTGTCTCTTTTGGATCCCTAGAGGAAAAACATGAACATAACATTCAGTTGCCTTTCTATTTTCCCCTTGCAGTTTAAATAGCATCCCTGGGGTCAGGTGATTAAGAATGTGAAAAGGGCATGAATGGTACAGGTTTTTAAAACAAACAAGCACAACACTTCTGCGCCTCCACACCATGGCCTGGATCCAAAATCCACCCCAACCCCCAGTAGTTGCTCTATATGTTCAGGGATCTTGCATCACCATATTTGTGTTTGTCTTTAGATTTCATTTCTTTGGGGGGGGCATGAAGAACAAGAGGTTAAGATATTAAAAAGAGGAGGGAGAGGGTTAGAAGGAAAAAGGAAAGGCATAATCCAAGCCATATGTTTAGGATCCTGTTTTGAGGTATGTGGCACAGAGGCAGCAGCGGAGGCCAGAGAAGCCCCCATCCACTGAGTGAAAGGCAGCAGCTGCTCCAGGAAAGGGCAGGGTATCTTAAAAGAAGGCAGTAGCAGCCTGGTGGGCCCAACAGGAGCACCACCTGCAGGACAGTCTCCTTTTCGCCAGGCAGTGGCCGAGCATAGCAGCAGGGGTAGAAGGTTTGCCAGCCTAGGGGGTATGGAGGACAGCAAGGGCTTCTGGCTAGCCCTATGCAAACCTAGCTGGGGTGGGGCACTGCAAGGAAGAGGTTAAGAGAGGAACATGGCTCAGAGAAGGAAGGGTCAGTGCTGGGCTTGTACAGCGTGGGTGGAACCCCAGGGATAAAAAGGGAGATGTCAAAAGAGAACAGGGAGGTGAGGAAGCCAAGCTGGCTGGGAAATGCTGAGAGGGTACAAAGAAGGGAGGAATAGGCACCCAAGCGAGGAACTGAGGCCTGGGGCAAGATAAGGATGCCAGACCTGGGCAAGCCTGGTAGAACTGCCCCAAGGGGTAAAAGCTGGTGGATGAAAGGAACTGTGCTGGTGATGAAGCCTGTATGGACTTTGCTGATTCTAATAAGGAGATGCTTAAGGAGTACCATTACGTCTGGTGAGTAAAACAACACATAAAATTCAACAATTACATTTTGAAATTTGAGATTTAGTATTTTAAAAGTTCATAGTTTCATATAAAAAACCCAGAGTAAAGGTGCCTCAGTTGCAATGCTCAGATGTAAACCTTCTGGGCGGTGTTGTGAGGTATCAAGCCACTAATCACTAGGCTAGGGTTGTCAGCAGGGGAGGCCAAGAATAGGAATTTGGACGCCTGCTGCCTTGACTAAAAGCCTGGCAGAACTGCTTTGTTTTGCAGGCCCTGTGGAATGGTAACAGATCCCGCAGTGCCCTGATCTCAGGTGGGAGCTTGTTCCACCAGGCAGGGGCAAGGGCCAAAAAGGCCCTAGCCCTAGTCAAGTCTAGCTGGATGTTCTCGGGCCAGGGACAATCAGAGGATGTAGATCAGTTGAATGCAGATGACGTTGCCTAATTCCAGTCATTGATTTGAGAGTTCATTAAGTGAAACGAATTTTGAAGCCACTTGGTCCTTTCACATCATGTAACAATGTCATTTTTACAATTTCTTTTACAGCATAAGCTGGAGGGTGCTTTGTTAGCTCTGGGGCAGTTCCAGCATGCCCTGGATGAGTTGCTGACATGGCTGATACATACTGAAGACCTGCTGAATGAACAGAAACCTGTGGGTGGTGACCCCAAGGCTATTGAAATTGAACTGGCCAAACATCACGTATGTAACGGAGCAGTCTCGGGTTTACCTGTTGAGACTTATTTTGTTCTTTCATTACCTTGATATTTACTATGTAGCATTCTGAAAACCTTTATACTTATTTTTAAGGACACAGACTGGAAGCAGTGTGTATTTAAGACACTAGATAGCCAGTGCCAAGACCTTCCTTCCTTCCTTCCTTCCTTCCTTCCTTCCTTCCTTCCTTCCTTCCTTCCAATTCCTCAGTCATAAATGGCTCAAGGCACTCTCATTGATTTAAAAAATAATGTTGTCTTGGCAAAGCAGAGCTCAAATACGTAATAAATGAAGTGCAGGTACAGAAAAGGTTCAGCATACACATGCTGTTATGTACTTCCTGCTCATTCAGTTTTCCATGCATGAGAGAGAGAAGAGAGGGACAGAGATATCACAGAGTAGAACTTCTACTTTTATCATCCCAAACATCAATGAGTTGGCGAGTACAAGTCATTACCTTAACAGATTATAGCTGGAAAGGAAAGGAAACATCACATCTGTTTCTCTAACAGAATTTTCACTTTTTCAAATGGGTAGAAATTAAATTTAAAACAATGAAAAATAATAAAACTTTCCGCCACGTTTGAATAGTAATAGAAGCCCAGGAGTGAGCTATGATGGAAATATTATTCAGAGATCATGTTCGTGTGTGTATGCACACACAGAGAAACCTACTTACTAATTAATTTTTTTAGGTGGCTTATAACACATTCCGAAACAATGCATATAAAATAATCAATGCAGGATCCTCTCCTCCCCCTGTGCCACTACAGTGCTAACCAGAATTGAGCCCCTGTGATGCAGTTTAAAGGAGTTCCTGGATGAGAGTTCTTTAAAATGGTGGTACAAACTCTGGGATGTACATCTTGTCTAGTTTGGCCCTTAGAGCCAAATCTTCAGTGAAGATACTAACAACCAGGGCTAGTTTTGGGCAGGAACACACCGGAACAGCGTTCCTGCTGGCTTCTGAGTTGGCCATGCTCAGCTCCCAGCAGCCCTCAGTTGGGCTGCCTCTTTCTTCCGGAGCCAGCACGTGTTGCCTCAGCCAGGAAGGTAAGGAAGCTCCAGGCTGCTCTGGGCTGGGTGGCAGGGACTGCTTTTGGGGCGGTGGGGGGGTGGTAAGGAGGCCGGCGGGTTGGCGGGGACAGCTTTTGGGGTGACGAAGGGCTTCAGAGAGCACCCAGGCTGGCCGTGGCAAGCCTGGGGCTCTAATGAGGCCAGAGGTGACTGCTTTCAGGGCTGGGGGGTGGCAGAGAGGCTGGCGGGCTGGTAGGGACTGTGTTTGGGCAGTGGCAGCAGGGGGGGGGCTTTAGAGAGCACCCAGGCTGGCCATGGCTGGCCTGTGGCTCTGATGAGGCCAGTGGCCTGTGGCTCTGATGAGCGCCAACTGCTGTCGGAGTGGGGGTAATGGAGAGGCCAGCAGGCTGTCAGGGACTTTTTTGGGGATGTGGGCTTCAGAGAGCTCAAAAACAGTTTGAACTGTAATTATTTTACTCCATATAAAGCTGTTTCTATTTTTCTGTTATATTTTGGGGGGTCTTAGGAATCAGGCCCCTGGATCAAACAATTCCATAATATGAATGTTAAAAATAGGACTCACTCACATAGATTTCTACTACAACTATATGTGTCCATTATTTTCTTATGGTAGATGCTATATATATGTCTTATTAAATATTTTAATAAATATCCCCTGAGCCATAAGGGGATGATTTATTTCTGGCCTTTGATTGTCCTTTCCCTTGAGATCTCCTAGTGAAAGGATGGTCATGATCACTCTGTGAGGCAGTCTCGCCCCTATATCAAACACCACAATAAAGTTCTAACAAAGGAATGTGTATTGATGGAGTGTGAAAAAATAGGAAAGTAAAAAGTAGGGATGTTATCAGCTTCCATGGTAACTAGTTTGAAAACTAAATTGTTTAAATGTTTCATGCTTGGAACAAAACAGCAGTTGTCTTTTTCCCGAGTTGGAGAGAAATATTGACATTAAAATAGTCATTTATTTTGTGTTAATTGCATATAAACAGTGTAACAATGGCATATAGCCTATCAGTGCTGTTCAAAAAGCTATAAAATGGGACTTCCTCCAGTAGGTGGAATAAAAATGGTCGTCTTGAACATGTTTGAAGATTAAAATAAGCCAACAATATATTTTCATAAATCCTTAATAAACCTTTAGCCTAATTAGACCATAGTGAGTATTTTACAAATAGAACACATCAAAAACATGTCATCATTTTACGGTAATAACTTGATATAGACTGGATAGCTGAAGTTTCATTCCTGTATACTAGTTCTGAATACGTTCAGTAAAGTTGTACAAAAATGATAGTGCAACTTGTGACAACCAAATGAAATTGGTGATATATATATATAAACAAGACTTAACGTGTTTTTAATTGCAGGTGCTGCAAAATGATGTGTTAGCTCATCAGTCCACTGTAGAAACAGTTAAGAAAGCAGGAAATGATCTGATTCAGTCAAGTGCTGTTGAAGAAGCAAGCAATCTACAGAGCAAGTTGGAACGTCTCAATCAATGTTGGCAAAATGTCTGGGAGAAAACAGAAAAAAGGAAACAACAACTGGACAGTGCTTTGATCCAGGTATGTAGGAGAAATTGAACATCCTAAAGACTCGCTTGTATTGATTAAATACATCTGTACATGATCCATCCGGCATTAAATGCTTCAAAACCTGACTGATGCTTATGTAAATCTGGTGGATTCTGAAATGCTTATCTTAAGCTGGATGGTGTTCTTTGTGTATTACAATAATATGAAGTATCACACTATAAACCTTAAACATTGTGGAGTATCTTGGACTGCATAGCTTCCTGTTTATATAGCAACTAGTTGACTTGTGCTGAATTGTACTGTACTTCTTTTCAGCAATTTTTAATAGTATAGGTTAATTTTGTGTGGGGTTTTGGCATTCCAAATGCTTAATTGGGTCTTGATTCAGTCATAGTTGTAAACTGAGATTTAAAATGTATACGCTTCTTTTTCCATTATAAGTTCTGTAGTTGTAACATTTGTGAGAGCTCTGTCTGTCTGTCATTCTCTATTCAGCAATGTTCCATTGTGTGTGCAATAATTTTCAGTAAAACCCCAGGGGGTATTTTTGGTTTATTGAATTTTCCTTTTAGCTTTTTTTAAAATGTTATTATTAAAATCTGGTTTAATGTGCCCAAGTTCAATTGTCTCTTAGCTGATGAGGCAATTCTGGGTACTGAAATATATTCCAAAGCGCTATAATGTATCTCTTTAGGCACAAGGTTACCATGGTGAAGTTGAAGATCTGCAACAATGGCTGACTGAAACTGAGCATCAGCTTTTGGCATCAAAACCTGTTGGTGGTTTACCAGAAACTGCAAGAGAGCAGCTTAATACCCATATGGTAAGGGTCTTAATATCTGCAGATGGTCCCAATTTGGAAGCTAAACCTTTGTGGCCATTTGTTGTAAAGTGCTGGCAAGCTTTACACAATAAAATGTCTGTAACATGGTTAAATGAGCAAACTCCTTTGTAAATTGCCAGGCTACAAAGTTGATTGAGTAGTACAGTCCTCAGCATTGTGTCGCTTAGGGGGAAATTTGCTGTGTTCTTTTTATCCCTCTTCCTTACTGATCTTGTATTATTTATTTATTTATGTTTGAGAATTCTATCCTGCCCTCCCCCGCAAGCAGGCTCAAGTGAGTCAGCAGTTAAAATACACTATACATACAATTTAAAAACTATAAAACCCGTAATACAGTACATGATGGCAAGCTCCATGGTGTATGCTGCCTATGTGCCCAAGCGCTGGCCTACCCGAAGGTGGGTAAAACTCCACCAGAGGAACAATTAAAGTGCACAAGACAAGCTGAGGCAGAGTAGGGCAGGGGAGGCCAATGTAATTTGACATCCGTAGCCTCAACCAAAGGCCTGGCGGAACAACTCTGTTTTACAGGCCCTGTGGAACTGTACTAAGTCCCGCATGGCCCTGATCTCACTAGGGAGGGTGTTCCACCAGGCTGGAGCCAAAGCCAAAAAGACTCTAACTCTGGTTGAGGCCAACGGATGTCTTTTGGGCCAGGGATTACCAGCAGGTGATGGTCAGCCAAACATAAGGCTCTCCGGGAAATATATTGGGAGAGGCAGTCCCACGGATACATTGGCCCCAGACCGCAGAGGGCTTTAAAGGTTAGTACCATCACCTTGAATTTGATGCAGCACTCAACTGGAAGCCAGTGCAGCTGGCAAAGCACTGATTGTGTATGCACCCAGGGCTTCAAAGTAGAGAAGTTGTTCTTTTGTGCTTTAGCATCTATACCAGCGAAACTATTTTATTTTAAAAGGAAAAGATCGCCCAAAAACAAATAACTGTCCCAGTTGTCCTTATTTTATTTTTTATGACTCATTATATTGGCCACAGTCCTGAATATAAAGCCACTGCTATATGACTAATGCATGGCCAAGGACATACTGAGCTATAGGGTTGCCAAGTCACCTTCTCTTTGCAGTGGGGGAGACTTCGCGCACGCACCTCAATGGTATCGCCCGGAAGTGACGTAATCACGCCAGCCATGTCGCCAGGCGACGCTCTAGCATTCACCCAAAAAACTCTATGGTACCATAGAGTTTTCAGGGCAATTGCTAGAGTGTCGCCTGGCAATATGCACTGCGTGATTATGCCACTTCCAGGTGACGTCATGGTGCCGGGCACGTTGGCCTGATCGGGCCACTTCAGGGGTGGGGTTCCCCCCGCCGGCTGGATCCAGACCGGCAGATTGGGGGCCCTTTCAGCGGGTGAATTCCTGACCCCCGGGGGGACTTGGCAACCCTACTGGGCTATGTCCTCTTTCAGAGAATCCCCTGCTAAACTATGGTCCCGGTCACACGGGCAGGAAACTGCGGGGGGGAAGCGTGGCTGTTTGCCCCGGGGCAAACTAACACGCAGTTAAGCGATCAGACCTCCTGTGGAGGTTCTGTGGAGGTACCGTGGAGCTTCCGTGGTTAGGGAGAGGTGTCGATCACAACACACGCCTGCGCGCAACAAAGAAGCGCGCGGCGCGGCAAACTGGTTTTATTTTTTTGTGTACAGTACGAATGCGCATGCTCCATTGGGTGCGTGTGCGCATCCACGGAGACTTGGAGAAAAAAAAACCTTTTTCACAAGGGGACATGGGCGGGAGCCGGATGCCACCGGAAACGCGATCAGACGCCCGCCCTTGCCCCGCAGTTTCCGGAAACTAGTACCTCCGAGGTACTAGTTTTTTGCTGCGTGTTTTCGGCAGGAAGCCTCGGTTGTGCCACGGAAGCGCTACGCTTCCCAGATGTGCTGGTAAGATCGCGCCCGGAAACTCCGCCTGTCTTCCGTATCTCTTGCGTGGCTAATGTTGCGTGTGACCGCAGCCTATAAACCTTTTCTTTAACATGGTGATGGAAGGAAGAACTTCTGAAGGGCAGCTGATACAATGAATAATGATGAGTTAATGGAAATAGAACTTGCATACCTCTTGGTTGTAGACCGCTGTCTCAGGATCTAGAATTTCACAATAGGGTTTGCTTGATGGAAGGCAGCATGGCCTAAGAAGTGGATCATTAGGCTTGTACAACCATAGAGGATTGTAAATTACAGTAAAGTAAAAGTAAAGGTTCTCTTGCTTGAAATCCAGTCAAATCCAACTCTAGGGTTGCAGTGCTCATCTCCGTTTCAAAGCTGAAGAGCCAGCACTGTCCGAAGATGTTTCCGTGGTCATGTGGCTGGCATGACTAAACACCAAGGCGCATGGAACGCTGTTACCTTCCCACTGAAGTGGTCCCTATTTATCTACTTGCAATTTCTTGCTTTCGAACTGCTAGGTTGGCAGGAGCTGGAACTAGAGATGGGAGCTCACTCTGTCATGCGGCACACTCGTGTCTCGAACTGCTGAACTACTGACCTTCCACAGCCTGCAGTTCAGCATCTTAACCACTTGAGCCACCACAGCAGTGTACTATAAATATAAATAAAACAAATACAGAGTGTAGACATCTTCATGTACTTCATGCATCCTTCTTGTTTTTCTATACTGATTTTTTATCAGAGAATATCCACAATTCCACAGTACATATCCTCCATGACATCTGCCATACCTAGCAAAGGCTGGTGCTTATGCACAATTTTGTATCCAACTGCATTAACCTTGAGTTAGAAAGATTTAGGTAATTACACATTTCTGTTGCACATTATAGTAAAATGTAAATGTTTTTGAGGCTAATCTTTTTAGAGTATAATTGTTTATGTATTCATGATTTGAGGTATTTTGTTGTCCTTGTTTAGGAACTCTGTTCTGCCTTTGAAGCCAAAGAAGAAACATACAAATGCCTGATGCATAAGGGCCTACAGATGCTTGCAAGATGCCCAGAGTCTGTTGAGACAAATGTTGAGCAAGACATAAATAACCTCAAAGAAAAATGGGAATCAGTAGAGACGAAGCTCAGCGGAAAAAAAGTATGATGCAATTGACACATGAGGAAATTTTCTGAAATGTGTTGAGGAATGTTTTAGTTGAATTGTTTTAGGTGTAAAATAGTTTTAGGTGTTGAATAGTTTGGCATCCTTTAGCTCCACACTGTCTAAGCAATAAATTATGTCACACACCAAAAATTCATATGGGAAAGCACATCAATAAAACATATGGTGGTGATGGACCAGTGACTGTATCTCCTATTGTAGTGCAGAGGCCACAAATTTAGGACTGAATGAAGCCTTTCAAGTCCACCAAGTCTGTCAACTTGTCAGCATGAAACTGGTGGTTTAATTTTATTGCTGGCATTTTGAATGTAACAATTCTTTAAAGTTTCAAGTGACAAGGCCTCTACTGCATCCTCTGGGAGGACTACCTCATACTCCAGCAGAAGCATCAGACTCATGTTTAACCACAGGTTTCCATGGGAATATACATTCCTTTTTAAAAATTGTTCCAAATGTGAATAAACAGTTTATTCTGAGTTCAAACTATAAATTACATCCTAAGGCAGCTGGAAAAAATGTTTGTAAAGAACAGAAATGATTCAATAAATAAAGGAGGCTATTCTTAGAAATAAACAGTATTTGCACTCTCCTTTTCATGGTAATATAAATTAACTAGCCTGCTACCCGTGCTTCGCTATGGTATTTAAGTTCCATAAATCCAGTTATAATACGAATGATGTGAAATTTGAAATGTGACATTTGTTGTAGGAATTCTAAAAGAGAAGACTGTAGTGTAAGAAATGAAGTTAGACATACGTACTTTCTTTTTTCTCTACTGAAGGACCTCTCTGTAGACCACATTGGTGGTTCTGCCCTCAGGTGCTAGGATCACCAGGCTGTTTGATGAGCTCACTTTGGAGCAGGCCACATAGAACTGTCCATTTAAGAAGCAGTCGTCTGTTAAGTCAACTCCTGCTACTTTCCAGGAAAGGGATGGCCTCTCTACTTGTATTCCTGGATTGTTTTGCTCATATGGAGACTGTGTTGTTCTGAGCACCTCAGGGTGATCTTGTTGGTACTTGGCCTGTGCATCTCAGTGCACTGCAGAAGTACTATGTACAAATGTCTTTGCCACATTCCTAAGTTGCCTCCTCCTTGTAGCATTGGTGTATCTGGTTCGACGTTTGTCAGGAGCTTTCTTGGGGGCAGTAAGAGGTGAGAGGTGTGAGGGGGAGTTGGTGTGAGGTAGTGGTGACATGGTGGACATTTCTTCAGGTTCATGAGGGAGGCACGCATCGAAATAGCTCCTAGAAATGTTCTTTACTATCTCTCCATAAACATTCATACCCTGGTCCTGCTCCTACACCTGACAGACACCGGCCTGTCTGGTGTTGGGGGGGGTTGTATTTAAAGGCATCGGGGAGGCTGGGCCAGCAGTAGTGCTAAGACAATCCTGCTGAGCAAACCTCCCTGGCGGCTGTAAGCATCCCACCTCCTCTCCTACACCTGACATGCAGCTGCCTGTCCAGTGTAGGACGGGGAAGGGGGAGGAGTATTAGAAACTGCTGTGGAGGCAGGGCTGGCAGGATCACTAAGGCGTTGTTGCTGGGGCAGGCTCCCTTGTGGTTTTAAGCATCCTGCAACCGCTGCTGCACCTGACAGACAACCGCCTGTTGGATGTAGGAGGTGGGGGGAGTGTGTTGGAAGCCACCCCACTACCTCTTCTACACTTCACAGGCAGCTGCCTGTCCAGTGTAGGAGGGGGAGGGAGAGGAGTATTAGAAGCCACTGTGGAGGTGGGGCTGCACCTGACAGACAACTGCCTGTTAGGTGCAGGAGTTGGGGGAACCATGTTGGAAGCCACCCCACCTCCTCTCCTACACCTGACAGGCAGCTGCCTATCCAGTGTAGGAGGGGGAGGGGGGAGGAGGATTAGAAGCCACCAGGGAAGGTGGGGCTGTACCTGACAGACAACCGCCTGTTACTTGTAGGAGGTGGGGGGAATGTGTTGGAAGCCATCCCACCTCATGTCCAACACTCGACAGGTAGCTGCCTATCCAGTGTAGGAGGGGGAGGAGTATTAGAAGCCACTGTGGAGGTGGAGCTGCACCTGACAGACAACCGCCTGTTAGGTGTTGGAGGTGGGGGAAGTGTGTTGGAAGCCATCAGAGAAGCTTGGCCAGCAGCTTTGCTTCACCTCACAGGCTTTTTTTAACCTCAGAACACTCAGCTCTGCAGCTGACCAATCAGAGAGTGGGGGGTGCAGAGAGTCAGCTGTCTGGCAGCCGCATAGGAATCAATGGGGGGAGCACATTTCCCCTCTTTTGACCCACTTAATGGTCGAATTTCTAAAAATCCCCTCTTAGCGAGCACCTACGGCACAGTAGGAGCGCTCTCCCCGAATTTGGTGTCTTTAGGTCCAGCGGTTTGGCCTGGGCGTTGATTTTATGGTGAGGGGACTTTCTTTTATATATATAGATGGATCGGTTCAGAGGCGTGGTTCAAGCATTTGCTGGACAAGAGTAATTGCGTAGTGAGTGCATAGTGGGCACATCCTTTCTCATACCCTAGGCAGACTATCTACAGATGATAACAGAATCCACTTAGGGCTGATTTCACTATCACATCTTTGTACTTTCTGATCAAACTGCCCTTCATACCAAACCCATTCTGGGGGAAATCAAACAAGCAGTCCAAGATGGCTCATACTTTTAAAAATTTATTTTGTTTTGTTTCAGTTTTTCTGTTCTGCTCATGTAGACTGCAGACACTGGGGAGATTGTTTTCTGCAGGTCCTATAAACACACATATCTGCAACAATGATTCAGGGATCCCAGAAAGATAAAGCCTAAATGTTGTAAAAGAGACAAACAAAACAAAACTACAAAAGAATACCTTCAGAACTCTCCTTTTGTGTGCCAAAAATACCTATTTAAAGTACTTATTTATTTATGCATTAAAGGGACTGGTTTAGAAGGCATTTCAGAATAATAGAAACCCCTTCAAAAACAGCAGCTTACATGCTAAAAATTTTACATTTTTAGGGTTTTTTTAAAGCAAACCAAAGGCTAGTTTTTGAAGAGGGTTCTGTTACTTTGTTGTTGTTATTTTATGTTGGCAAATGGATGCACTTTTCCCAGGATCCCCGAATCTCACAGTTCTGGAAATGCACATTCATGGGACTTTGTCCATAGTCTCTGTAGACACTGAAAGGTATATTGTCTGTTTAATTCTTTGGTTCTATTCCCTGAAGTTATGCAAAATTCAACAGAAGACCATTAGAAGGGGTGGAAAATGGTCAGTAAAATCAGTAAAAGTCCGTTTTTTCATCTTGGTCAGTAACTTGTCAGACTTTTAAAAAATTGGTCAGTAAAGTTAGTATTTCTTTGTTTTTTGTGAAAGCAGTTTGTGTTCTTTTGTTTTTGTTACTTCATTTGGGGAAAAACATGATGACTTCCCAGTGAGAAGACAGATTGTTTTCAGTTCAGTTATGAAGTACTTTAAGGACTTTGTTTCTAAGCGTAAAAGTGATTTGGTGAAATTTTCTACAAAGTATAGAAACATAATTAACCTCTTAAAACATGAGACAATGAAAGCAGAGGTGATGTTTTGTTGCATTATTTACAAAGTTCAGTGGAGTGTTCCAGAAAGAAGAGTTTTTGGTGCATGTGATACACAGTGAAGTAAAAACACTCACAAAAACCATAATGAATCTTGTTTGTAAGAGTTCAGCACCACTGCCTCTTGAAGCCTTCAGTGATGAGCACTGCATACCTGTGAGAGAAGTAATCAGTGAAAGTAGAATCTGTGATGAACCGGAAAAACTTTCTGAAAAGGAACAACTACTCTTTTTAATGGGAGCAAAAAAAAAATTTCATAGCAGCCTTTTAAAACGCTAATTCATAAATAGGCTGACATTAAATTGTTCAATAATTTGTTAGTTTTTTGTCCGTATTTGGTCAGGTTTTTTTTTTGGAATTTTGGTCAGTAAAATCAGTATTTTTGACCCTCTGACTAGTTTCCACCCCTGCATTAGAATGAAACAACTGAATTAAAAGTGGAACCATTCTTAATTGAAGCTGGAACAATTTGCTTTTCTGTTGTAGTATTACACTTGATGCAGACTCACAATTGAATACCTAATTCATAATATTCTTCTATGAGACATCAGCTGGACCCATCTGTCCCACCATACAAAGCCTCTTGCTTGCTCCATAAATATGTCAACTGGGTCTTTGTTCAGTAGCAGGAAGTAGACTTCTTTCTAATTAGGAATGTTCAATCTAGTTGGCCAAACAGCTCTCCAACCCTGTTTTATATTAATTGTGACTATTCTTCATGCAGTACTGATGCATATGGTCCTGATTCATGCAATCATAATCAAAGCTGAAGTGCACATATTTGTTTTTGGAATCCTTTTGAGACACTTGTAAGCATGATCATTTAGCATTAAGAAGCAGGGTTGTTTTTTTTCAGTACACAGAAATCTGTATATAGGACTGGATACTCTTGCATGCTCACTCCCAGTAGGTTTTTCCTCACTGTCTTTTTCTGTAGAAAACACTTAAAAATACCTTTTAATCTATTTAGGAATACAAAGTATGTCACTGTTATCCTAGAAACAATTTAGTGGGGAAAGTTGTTCTCTTCCAATGTACAGTTAATTGTAAAACTGTTTAATTCCCCATAAACTGTCCACCACAATTAAAGTATGGCATGTTCTTGCAGACCAAACTGGAAGAAGCCCTCAGTTTGGCAATGGAGTTCCACAACTCACTACAAGACTTTATCAACTGGCTTACTCAAGCTGAGCAAACCTTGACAGCAGCTTCTCGACCAAGTCTTATTTTGGACACTGTCTTGTTTCAAGTTGATGAGCACAAGGTATGTAAAGAAACAGCAGTGGAGGTGTATCACTCTTCTTCCCACTCCTGACAAGGCACTGGAATGGCTCATATTAATGTTTTAAGCAACTCAGAAACACTGAAGTCCAAATGACATTTTACAGCTTTATAAATGGCATTTTATAGTTTCTCTAGGTAATAAAATAGATAAGCCAGCACATCATTTATTTTATATGTGTGTAACTATGAGTCTTTACAAATGTCAACTTTCTTTTGGAAGGTCTTTGCTACAGAAGTGAATGCCCACCGTGACCAGATTATAGAATTGGACAAAACTGGAACACATCTGAAATACTTTAGCCAGAAACAAGATGTTGTCCTCATTAAGAATCTTCTGATCAGTGTCCAGAGTAGATGGGAAAAGGTAGTCCAGCGCTTAGTGGAGAGAGGAAGAGCTTTGGATGATGCAAGGAAACGAGCCAAGCAGGTAATGTGGCAAATGTAGCACACCTGTAACTAAAGTTGCATTCTTGAAACAGGTGGTACTTTCCAAGTCTTTTAAAGGACACTGTTTAGTAGAATGAGTGACTGGTTATAGCCAGAGCAGCTATTTTTACAGTTCCATCACACCACAAGATACTTTCATCTAGAAGGTGGAATTATCACTTATCCCTACCTTGCAAAATAAATTATTCTCCTTTTAATTGTTATGATTATGTAACAAGCACCTTTTCTGCAGTCAGTTCCCATTTGCTCATTGGCCTAATGCTTTTTTCCTCATGTTGGTATTTCGATGAAGGCTGAGGGAGATTTTACAATCAAATCTGAGTTCTCTCCCTTTGGGCTGCTCTTCAAATTAAAACTTCAGAGCAAACTAATTTATACAGTAGCCAAATTGCACGCTCACGACTTTAATGCCAGTAGCTCACAAAGTAGAATTTTTGCTCACAAAACTCCACAGCTTAGAGACAGCATTTATTGTGCTCAAAGTGCAATGTACTTTTAGGGACAAATCATAATACGAAGGTGATATCACCCTTATATGGAGACAGCACCATTTCAGTTTGCATGTATGTTCTAAGTAATAGAGGGGCAGGAAATTGCTACAACTGGAAAGAGACTTCATTTTCAACGTTTTTTTCTGGCATGTATGTTTTTTCACATTGGATGTATTTTGTCAAGTGAGCTATTTTAGACAAAAGGTTTCCAATATGAAAATATAGACAGGATTGTACATGTGTGAGGTTTGTACCATCTAACTTTCATGGTGGGAATTATCCCAATGAGACAGGCTGAGGACAGACTGGCAGTATGAAGCGCAAGGGAGGCGGGGCAAAAACACCTGGACCAAGTTGTGCCAGGGATTCCCGGTCACACTGCACCTACTGATGCGGGAGAATACCGAGGAGGAGGCACAAGGGAGCGTTCACACTGTTGGCCTGCCCCTGGCGGAGGCGTGGCTGTAAGTGGCTTTTTTTCACTCAGGCAACATGCGCATAGGCGCAGCACCATGTCAGCAATTGGGGCAGGATCCCATTGCGCCTGCCCGTGCCCCGCATTGGGCGGTAGAGCAGCACACATCCAGTCACATCACTGCTGCCTTTCCAGGGCAATCAACTGCACCTTCCTGGTGCCAGAGTGAGGCCAAGAGGTCAGTCACCATGGATGCCGAGGACGCAGGCAGCTCCAGTGCATATAGCGCATGGGTGCTTATGCGCATCCCTACTGGATCAGCCAGTTCACATTATCAATGCAGCTCGTTTGCAGCTTTTAGTGTGCACACTTCCGGGAAGCAGGATCAACGCGCCCTCCAGGGTTTGCTACGGCTTTCACCTGGTACTTTTTTAACTCGGTAGGGAATCGTCATAGGACGGGTTGAGTACGGCTGGGGAACGCCTGACAGCTGTGGCTGTGTGAACCGGCCCCTTTAATCCGTTTGTGAAACGTGCCTATATCGGGCCAAACTGCCAGTCTGAATTCAGCCACAGTGTGCACATGGAACTTGACTCCTAGATAAAAATCCCATCAGGTACAAATAGGTTCACTAATTTTTCTCCGGCATCACTCTATTGTATGCATCTGTTTGCCGCTGATAAAATTTGTATTGTAACCTATTAGTTATGAGAAGGAATAAGACATTTATGGTAAATTACGTATTGCAATCAAATTAAAAGTCTTTAAAATGTTCTTTTCAGTATATAGCTGTGCTCGTAGCTAGATGACATGACTTTGAGTAATATTTATTTATAGTTAATATTTTATTACATGTAGAATGTTTTGGATGCTTGGTTATAAAGGTATACATAATGCAAGTGAATTTTTACTCTCCTACAGTTCCATGAAGCCTGGAACAAACTTATGGAATGGCTGGATGATTCAGAAAATACTTTAGATGCAGAGCTTGAAATTGCAAATGATCCTGATAAAATTAAGATGCAGCTTACCCAACATAAGGTGAGTCATCATTCATGGAATGTAAAAGATGGTTCAGTCAGACTTCACAAACTTCAGTCAGTGGAGCACTGTATAATTAGCAGGGGAGGGACATTTATTGGCTTCTGTAGGCTGGAATGTTTGTCACCATCAGAATCAAACTCTTGCTGAGTTCAAAAAAGGCAAGTAAATAGAAGCTGTAAGGCTCTCTGCAGGGTCTGGGGGTGTTTTTTTCTGAAGACAAAGGGAAGAACATGAATAGGAAAGGCACAGTAATAATTATAGAAGCTGGAAAAAAATGTCCATTAAAAGCTTGATTAAAAACTTTTGATCAAAGATGCAGTCATCTTGGTTAATAGGGTTTAATCACACCTTTTTTGTTTGCTTCTATTGCTAGGAGATTATGAGTATGGCCATTTCCACCCCATTCTTATGAAAAAGAAATCAGTTTCATAACCAGCCCTTAGCTGGTTTAGTGAAAGAGTAATAATTATTATTGTTGTTGTTTATTGTTTGAAAGGAATTAGCAGCAATGGAGCTGTCAGCTACAAAAGTTAAACTTGCAATAGGAATGGATAATTTTCCTGTTAAGAGTTTGCAGCTGCAAAGCTCCTCTTCATAAATCTCATTATGGGTGGATGAAAAGTAACCTTTAACCCTTGGACCTTTATAGCTCCAGGGAAAAGGTCACACTGTGAATAGAGACAATCTATTTCATGGTTCTGTTCTGCAAAGCTGCCTTCATTCTGAACTTCAGCGATTGCTGTTATGTTGGTCTGCCTGATATTCTTAGCATTCTGGTCATCAGTCTTTCTAGCGTAACATCTTCTGTGGGTTTTTAAAAATCTCTCTTTAGCCCTTGTTTGCTTTATATAAGAAAATAAACCTTTGCTTCCTACTATGGTTATTGATACAAGCTTCAAGTCCTTCGTTGTTACAGTACTGACAGATGATCATCCAAACTTGTCAGGCTTCCCAGTCAAGAAACTCAACAACGTTCCTTCAGAAGTTTCTGTTTATTGAGGACTAGTACTTAGGACACCATGAACTCTTGTATCAGAAATGGGATAAGAGCTAACACGTATAGATATACCCCCTTCAAACTAGACCCCCTGATATAATAAAACCAATAAGCAGGCACCTGCAAATGCGGGCAAAGAGACAGCAGTTACATTCCCAGTGGGAAAAGAAGACCCAGCCGAGCCGAGCCTTCAAGGACACCAGACAGATAACAGAGTGAAGCTGAGGAGGCACGGGGGATGGGAGGGAGAAAGGAGAGAGAGAGAGCACCCCACACATTCCAACCCATGACAGCATTAGCTGACAAAACTATACTATATGTTTACTTGCAGTCAAGAAGACTTGTATTTTTGTTGTTATTTTTATAAGCTTGTATACTCAGCTGAAATGCCAAAAATGTGACAGAGAGTATTGTAGCTTGGTTTGACTTGTGTCTGTTGAATGGTGCAGCAGATTTTTTGCCCACTGCTCAGCTAACCCCATCAGTTGCCCACAAGTTTCTAAATATCCCTGAAGTTACATCACTGAAGTGGCTCTCTGGAAGAATTTTGAGGATCATACTGAGAGTTTACAGTCTCTGTCTCAACTTCCTCTTTCACCAAGGTAATTCTTCCATGGGCCAGATCAGTTATTTCCTAGAAGCCAGGCATGTCCACTAGTAAGGTTGTCAGGAAAAATTTACAATAGCAGATGTCTCCATGGATTTCCTTAGAACTGGTGGTGTAACTGCCAATGGGTAGCCAGAACAGTTTGCAGCTGCAACTGGACTAGAAGTGGTGAGTATAGTTCTGAGTCTGAGATATCAAGGGCAAGATCCCTATTTTTGGTCCAGGGTGGGTTCAGCAGGGTAGCAAAAAATAAGTCTCCACTTATCCTAGTAGGAAAAACAAGAATTTAAAGCATCCTCAATAAGGTACTCCATAGCTGAATGTTTGGAATTTTCCACTTTTTCTTTTGGGATTGAGACTATTTATAAGAACTGTAAGAGTCTGGAAGGGGACTAATAGGCCATTGACTGCAACCCCCTGCTCAGGGCAGGAATTCCAAGATAGAGCTTTTCCAACGGATAGCTATCCAATCTGTTGTCTGAAAACCTCCAGCAAGGGGCAGCCCACCACCTTGCAGCTAGCCTGCAGAGATTGTCTGGAGGCTTTAGCTGACAGACAACCTTTATTGGCATGTCAAAGATAAAAGTACATTAACAAATTTTAAAAATACATTGAGGTAACAAAGTGATCGTAAGACCAACCAAAATGAAATAGATCAGTTAATAGCTTCCCTGAATCGAATTGCAGACTGGAGAAAAAAGTTGACATTAGAGGTTATGAGAAAGTTATGTCCAGAAAGTAACCACTGAACCTTGACACTGTCAGGGAGGCCACACCATGTACAGAGAAGGGAGTTAATTGCCCCCGCTTCCTTGTCCCACACCGACCAATTCCACTCAGTGTCATTGAACTTGCGGGATACATATGCAAGGGGGTGCAACCTTCCATCCCCCCCTTGTTGCAAAATGGTGCCGCCCATAGCAACATCCGACGCATCAACTTGCACAATAATTTTTTTTATTTCCGTCGGGGTGTGCTAAAATTGGCTCAGATGTGAACAGAGTCTTCAATCGATCGAACGCCTCCTGGCATTCAACTGACCACATCAGCTTGGCACCCGGCTGAGTGCTCTCAGGCCCCTTTCCTTTAGTTTTCAATAGATCCGTTAGCGGTAAGCTCACCTGAGCAAAATTTGCGAGAAAAGATCTGTAAATATTGGCGAATCCTAGGAACGCTTGAAGCTGCCTCCAGATGCGAGGTGGCTCCCATCCCAGTACATCCCGCACCTTGGCTGGGTCCATTTCCAAACCCCTGGGGGAGATGCGATAGCCTTGGAAATCAATCTTGGTGCAATGGAACTCACACTTTGAGAGTTTGGCAAACAGTTTGTGCTTGTGCAATGTGCGCAACACTTCACACACCAACTTCACGTGGGACGATTTGTCGGTGGGCACAGCAAGATATCATCTAGATAAACAAGGACCCTCTTGAATAGGTGCTTGTGCAACACTTCATTGATAAGATTCATGAAGACTCCGGGAACCCCTTGCAGACTGAAGGGCATCACCTGGTACTCAAACTGGCCCAGTGGAGTGTTAAACGCAGTCTTATACTCGTCCCCCTCCTTAATCCTCACCCTGAAATATGGATCCCGGAGATCAAGTTTAGAAAAGATTTTCCCCTTATCCGCCTCAGCCAAGAGGTTCTTGATTAGGGGGAGGGCTAAACATTCGTAGTGGAAACTGCATTAAAGCCCCTATAGTCAGTGCAGAGTCTCAACCCCCATCGTTTTTCTTCCTGAAAAGCACAGGGGCCGCAAACGAGGACGTAGGGCAAATGAACCCCCAAGCCAGATTCTTGTCAATGAACTTTCGCAGCTCCACTTTCTCACTTGGGCTAATCGCATACAGTTTCCCTTTAGGCAACTTGTGCTCGGGGATCAGTTCTATAGTGGGGCGGCAATTCTTCAGCTTCTTCCTCCTCAAAGAAACTTCTTCTCCGAAATATGATATCCAGTACAATATTGAGTTTAGTTAAATGTTGATTATATATTTGTTCTTGATGATTGATGTATAGATTATGTTGTTATTAGTACTAGCTAATTTTTGTTAAAATTGAAGTGGTTTTATCTTACTTTAACAGTTGTATGCATTTTTAATACTTCAATAAAAAAGTGTTGAAAATAAAAAAACCCTAGCCAAGTCCCGATACTCTGGGGGAATAGCGTCCAGCTCCTCCCTGGCCAGGCACGCTCGCACCGGTTCATCTGGGGGAGGGGGCCCCCACCCCGCAGACCACATGTGAGCCTGACACTTTGGAGAGATGAATTGGATCTTGCCCTCATCCCACAAGATGTACGGGTCGTGATCATGTAGCCATGGGCTGCCCAACACCAGGGGGACTCATGCTGCCTGGGTGATGACAAATGGCCGGTGTTCCCAATGGCTTTCCGCCCCTACCCGTAAAGGCACACTCTCATACTTGCAGGGTTCTTTCATTGCAGACCCATTCATCTGGGTAAAAACAATGGGGTCTGGGAGTTTAACCACCTTGACCCCCAGCCCTGTAACTAAGGAAGGGTTGATCAAGTCCCATCAACACCCTGAGTCTATCAATCCCCGTACTCTGACATGAGTTCCGAGTTCAGGGTTCATTAAAGTCACAGTCACAAAGAAAAGGGGGGGTAATTGCTCACCATTTTTGGCGCCTCAGGAGTAGGGACATGCTGCTCTGCGCCACTCACAGCAGGTCCTGGCCTTTTTCCGCTGGCTCATCTTCTTCCTTGCTACTCGTGTCCAGTTCCTCTGCTGGAACCTCAGTTTGCAGAGCTCGTTGGAACTTTGGCCGGGCCACACTCTTCCGTGCTGGGGTGTGAACCCACTTTTTCTCCGGCTCCTTCCTGGGCACCGCCGGGGCTCCACCTCCTGGGCAAGCGGCAGTGAAGTGACCCGCTTTGCCATGTCTCAGGCACAGACCTTGCTTCATGCGCTGGTCCTGCAAGCCCTCTTTGGGTTTAGGGGTCTTGGGTTTTACCACTGGCGGTCCAACCTTTCCCAGGGTGGCTGCGTTGTCTATGTGGATGGTCCTCAATCGATTCTCCTGTCGGCCGCTTCCCCCATCCAGGTGTGGAGGGACACCAGTTGAACACTACGCAGGACCTCTCATGAATCTCAGGGTGCAGACTTAGCCACTACTGCTCAGCCATCACACCATCTGGCCAGTCCTAGATTTTCATGGCATGCTTTGTAAACTCCTTGGAGTATTCATGCACCATCTTCTTACCTTGCTTGGAGGTACGCAAGTAGGCGTGCATATGTTCACTGGCATTCAGATCCTCGTACTGAGCTCAGAGAGCGCACATGAAGTCGTCTACTCTCTTGAGTTCGGGACCCTCCGAATTATGAAGTCTCACGTACTAGTCTGCTGCCCCATCATGCAATCGTGAGGCGATGT